TGTTCTAAGTAGGTGCTTTAGACCACTGAGCCATCTCACCAGCCCCTGTTTTGCTTCATTTTTGAGACAGGATCTCACCATATAGTTCAGGCTAGTCTTGAGCTCACTATGTAGCCCAGACTGGCCTTGAACATGAAAACATTTTGAATACAAACTTTCTGAATCAGCTCTGCCCCCCTCAGGTGAGAACATAAGGAAATTTCATTGTTAACTAGGAATCCAGGAGGGATCACAAAAATTTTTATCCTCTGGTATTAACACTTTTGATTCCATCTATTCTGGGCAATAACCCTAAATAAACTAAAGGTCACCTATGAAGCTTCAGTGGTAACGTAAGGTTAAAGGCCTTGGCTTGAATCTAGAAGCTGGCTGTCAGGCCGGGTGGAGTTGGCAGAATAGCCCTAAACTTCCCTCCCCCAGTGCACTGGGCAGCGAATAATTTCCCTTTCTTCTTTCTCCCTACATACGACCACCAGCTTGGCTTGGCATTTTTGGCAAGGCTGTCAAAATAGTCTAACTTAAAAAGCAGGAAGAGGGCTGTTTTTTGGTAACTATACATATGGTATACGGTAGCCTCACAAAAACCTATATACAGAAATGGCTGCTTCTAGAAATTACTGCACTTGTGACACATACTGTACTGTGCTAGTTATTTTGTTCATTATCTATCCAAGCAGATTATAAACTCCTGGAGCCCACAACTATCTTATGCCCTGCAATCTAGCATGGAATGTTGTATGTAATTCACAATTTTTTTTTCCCCAGAACCGGGGATTTAACTCAGGCCCTTGCACTTGCCAGGGAAGGAAGCACTTATCCTACTGAGCCATCTCCCCAACCCCTGTAATTCACAATTTAAAAAAAAAAAAAATCCTTAATAATGATGCACATTGATGTGAACGGGGAGACTTAATACTAAGTTTTAGAAGAAAGGCATACAACTGAAGAGATGCGCAGATACCAACACAGAAGTCAGATCCAGTGGGTAAGGGACTATCTTTTTGCCTGTGTTTCTGCACCAAAGTGGGAACTATGACCACTTCTTTCTGGTTTTAATGACTTAGGGCACTGAAAGGTGCCACTGTACCACAGAAGTACAAAATATTACACAGACACAAGCGACATGGACTCACAGACATAGACTCACAACTTCTTCCAAACTCATGATCCATTTTTTAATTGTTTGACAATCACACATCACAGTAACTCCTCAAAATGGTGGGTTTTTTTTGGGTTTTTTCTCCGAATGCCTTCAGGTCAGGTTTGGCTAGCTTGAGTTGTAGGGATTGAACCACAGCAACTTGAGCCTGACTGCTTTGTTGAAGCAGCCACTTAAAAGAACTGAGCTAAGGGGCAGGCCCCCTCCTCAAAATGTTTTAATACAAAACAGAATCTTTGTCCCTCTAATCCTATTATTCTTTTGGGGTTTTTTGTTTTATCTTTAAGACAGGGGTTCACTAGGTAGTTCAGGCTGGTCTTGAGCTATGTGGTGCTGGTTGTCCTGGAATTCAGGGCCATGCTCCTGCACCTGGCTCCCAACTCCTGGGGTCATAGGCATGTGGTACCACACTCAATTCAAATCCTATTGTTCTTTTTCTTTTCAGGTGGAACCGGGGATTGAACTCAGACCCTTGCGCTTGCCAGGGAAGCATTTATTCTACCTAGCCATCTCCCTGGCCCCTTGTTCTTTTTCTTTTCTTAGGTTGGGTTTCTAAGACTGGTATGGCCATATAACTCAGGCTGGCCTTTAACTCAAAGTGATACTCCTGCCTCAGATTTCTAAGTGGGTTTACAGGTATGCAACACATCCAGCCCTAGTATTCTTTTTTTTTTTTTTTTGGTGGAACCGGGGATTGAACTCAGGCCCCTGCGCTTGCCAGGGAAGCGCTTATTCCACTGAGCCATCTCCCCGGCCCCCAGCCCTAGTATTCTTACCACTATTTTCATTTGTTTGTTTGCTGTATTGCTGTCTTCTCAGGTGCCTAGAACTATAGTCAACTCCTCTACTTTCCTTAACAGGTAAAATTTTGAGACACTATGCTGTTAGAAATGCCTTAAATATCTCTCCCTATTATGGTTTGTGTCTAGGTGCCCGCCCCCACCCCCAAAGTCATGGGGCGCTTCTGGAGTTTGTGATTGATTACTGTGGGTGTGGATGCTGCACTGCCCTGGGACAGGTAATTTGCATTACAATGGAAGGAGGGGAGAGGCTAGCTGGCTGCCTGAGCCACTGCCACTCCCTTTGCTCTCTGCTCTTTGCCAAGCCATGAGAGGCTGCCCTCTGCCATGTGCCACTCTGCCTTGGAGCCAGTTGAGTATAGATTGAAACCTCCAGTAATCGTGAGCTAAATAAGCCTTTCCTTCCTTCATTTTGGATATTGGGTGTTTGTCCAAGCAAGGAGACAAGAGTGGGCCAGGGAGATAACTCAGTAGAATAAGCACTTGCCTGGCAAGTGCAGAGTCCTGAGTTCAATCCCCGGTACGGAAGGGGGGGAAAAAAAAAGGAAGAGAAGAGTAACTGAGACACTCCCCATTTTCAGTCTTCATTTCAGCTTTAACCTCTCCTTTCCGCAGCATTTTTTAAAGTGATTTCCCTGTCCCAAGTCTAGCTCCTTTTCAATTCCCTTTGGTGTTTCAACAAGTTCTCTCACTGAAGCACCTCCAAGTTTGGAAGGGATTTTCATCTCTAGCAACTAGAAACACCACTTTCTGCAGCAGCTCAGTTCATTGAAAGAAAACTTTAAGAACATTCCCAAAGCATACTCTCTTAGACACTCTTCGATGTGTCTCCTTATTATAAAACAAAATTGGCTGGGCATGACAGTGCATGCCTGTACCTGTAATCCCAGCACTCAGGAGGCTGAGGCAGGAGGATCAATGTGAGTTCAAGACCAGCCTCGGCTACAAAGTGAGCTCAAGGCCAGCCTGAGCTGCCTAGCAAAACCCTGTCTCAAAAAGACAAAAAATGCAAAAACACCAACTTTCACACAGTATTGTATGTGGTATGTCCAACCTGCTCCACTTTTCTAGTCTTTTCCCATATCGTAACCAAATCAAAGCTCCAGTAACATCCAGCCATTGGCTCACCCCCGTGTCTCTGTAGACCCCAATTTCTTAATTTTTTTTTCTTTTTGTAGACAGGTCTCTCTCTGTAATTTACACTGGCCTTGAACTCCTGGCAATCTTCCTGCCTCAGCCTCCCATGTCTGGGAGTAACAGACATGCACCATCATGTTTGGTCATCCCAATTTCTATTCTTATTCAATCTTCAATGACCTCTCCTACATCTACTGTAATTTCTCCCTGTCCTATACTTTCAGGCCCTTGTATCTTTTTTTTTTTTTTTTTTCCAGAACTAGGGAATTGAACTCAGGTCCTTGTGTTTGCCAGGCAAGTGATTATTCTACTGCACTATCTCCCCAGTCCCCCTTGTTTGTATCTTGATGACAGCACTTATTATGTTTTATCTTAAATAAATAAAAGCTGTCTCTGGCTGGCCCTCACCACTGTCCAATTAGGCCAAGCATTTTCAGAGTGAGTGTTTCCCTTTCTTCTTTTTGGAACCTAATCCAGTATATAACATAAGGGCTAAATTATAAAAATGCTTCAAAAATAACATATTTACAAGTAAAATAATACAACTTATGAAACCAGCCTATTGTTGCTCAAAATTCTCATTCTGTAGAAACTGACTCCCTTGTCTGAATCATCAACTGCATATCACTTTACCACTTCCATCTGTCTTCTTGTTATCTAAGGGACACCAAGTCTTTGTAGGCTAGGAAAGAATGTGGCAGAGAATTACTCAGGGCATATAACTGATCCAAAGAAAAGTGAGCCTGCAGTTCTGATAAATTACAGTAGTAGATAGGGAAGAATTACTATGTCTAACATAGGATAAAACTGTGGAGCCCAAAATGGACGGGACGGGTCCCAGAAAACTCGTGAGGTGGGTCCAAATATGTACCAGGCAACCTGCAGCATCTATGGGAGGGTGACAAGGACTTGCCATCGTTGGACAATGCCTGCTCGCCAAAAATGACTTCCGTCAACACGCCTAAGCACAGGACATGACCTGACCTTGTCCAAAGAACACAGCGCGGTCTTTAACACCGAAACGGCCCTCCTCCACAGAAACCTCATTCATTGATAGGTCTAATTAAAGGAACATGATCTCTGGTGCAATAAAAGACTTCTCAGAGGCGCCTTCTACCAGGAACAGCAGGAGTCGCCGTCCAGGCACCTGTAACCGTGGCTCCCTCACCCAGTGAAGCCGGATGACAACTGTTCTCTCATGCAAACTGGGAGGCCTTGCGCGCTAGGGGAAAGCGGGCTGCAGGAAGGGGGCCAGGAGTCGGCCGGCTCGGGTCGAAGGCGCCGCTGCACGCCGGCTCGGGCAGGGCCCAGCCCCCGGAGACGCGCCCGCGACGGGGCAGAGGGCAGGGTCCCGGGGACGAGACCAGCGCCCCGCGGCTTCTCCTCCGCTAGACGCCACGCCGGCCCCCGCCGGCCCTCCCCGTCTCCGAATCGGGGGTCGCGGGCTCCACAGCGCCCCCGCCGCCCTCCCGCGCTCCTCACCGTCTCCATCGCGAGAGGCCCGCTCGCGTTCGCCTCCGGAAGCGGGGGTCAAGCCCGCCCCGCGACGTCCGGCGCGCGCGCCCCTTCCGCCGGCGCAGTGACGCACCGACGCGGCGACGCAACCGGCGTGAGGCGCGAGCGCAGCCCTCGGGCGGCGGCCCGGCCCTCCCACGGGCGCGCGCGGACGTCATGGGCCTGCCGACGGCGAGCGTCACGGGACGGAGCCGCTTGTATTTAAAATGGTCTTTTTTTTATTTGTCATTTAAAAACAAACTTCGAAGAAGCAAAATCCAAAACTTGCCCTTTGCCTCTCGCAACATAAATTATGTACAGTTCAGAATGATCGCTGATACAAAACATGCCAAGGACGGGGGAGGGGTGAGAGGGCGCTTTAAAAAAGGGAACCATTTCATCCGTTGTTAAGAAGGACCAACCTTGCTGTACAGGATACACACAACACAAAATAAAGTCTTCACGGGATTCACACTTGTCAGCGATTTATTTTTTTAAAAAGGGGGAGGGTCCTGGAGGTGAGGGTAGAAGACGGTAAAGGGGGAAAAACTGAAAATCGAGTATGTGCAAGTGTAAACCAACCCAAAATACAAACACGGGGGTGGGGGGTTCTGATGCAATTATACAGGCAGGGTACTTAAAAAAACCAACAACCAAAATTCCAACCTTGTAGCTTGGATCTGAGTTATAGTTTATATAAAAATTAAAAACTGTATAAGGTTTCTTCGCTAAATTCTACAGGACTATCGGATATCTAGCATATGCTTACAAATTCTGCCCCATCCCTTTCCCAATCCCCAACCAGAGCCTGGCTCGCTGGAGCCAATCTCCCCTCGCTGTAGCTTAGACATTTTCAACTCTTGGAAAAGGACCGTCCAAGGGCTGTGGCTTTGGGGACCGCAGCCCAGTCTCCCTACTGTAGTCTGATCTAATTACAGTGGTTCCTGCGGGAGTGGGGGTGTTACTGTCTTCAACACTTATTTGCAGCTTGAACAGTTGAGGAAGCAGCTTATAAAAACAAAACAAACAAAAAACTCCCTACCCCATCAATCCACAACCCCCCAAATTCAAAACAAAACAAACCTAAAATCACAACACCGACCGTGCTCCCCTTCAGCAGGCCCGCCCATCTGCCACCACCAAGCCCACCACCACACTCGACATCTGATTCTTGAAAATACTACAAAATGCCCTTTGCCCGCGGCCCCCAGGAGAACTGCATATAAGCTTTTCTTCATCCCCACGGCTCCCCACCAGCGCAGGGGCTGGGCCTCGCCGGCCGCCGGCCCCTACACTGGAAGAGGTTCCACTGCAGCACAAGCTCGGGCAGAAAGGGAAGGAAAAGGCAGGAACCCACCCCCTCGGGCGCGCCCTGGGGCCGGCTGGCGTTTGTGCGTTACAAGAGTCCAACTATACAACGGGATGGGAGGTGCCCGGCCTCTCTCTAGTCCCCCACCTTACAGCAGTCACAGCCAGGGGGTGGGGAGGGGGGGTGAGGAGGGAAGGGCGGTAGGTGGGGTAATGGAGGGGGCTCCCCCACAAGGGGAGCTCCATGTGTCCGCCCCACACCCCCCTACCATTTATAAACTGGTTTTGTAAAAAGAAAATAGATATATTTATATAGAATATATAAAGCACAAAAATTAGTAGTTTTACATTTGCTCTCCCCGGGGGTGGGGGAGAGGGGAGGGTTCTCACCTCCTGCCGGCTCCCCCATGCCCCACAAGACTATGTACACCCCATGTATAAATAGATAAATACCCCCCACCCTCCCCGCGCTGACACTAAGCTCCCCGCCCCCACATCACCACCCCTTCCCACCAGACCAGCAGCAGTTTGGTGACCGAGGGAAAAGTGGGAGCTCCGGGCCACACCCTGCCTCACTGGGTATGGGCACCCCTCAGGGACAGCCCTTACCCACCCTGCCCACCCCATTCCAGGGGCTGGAGGGCAAATGGGCTCCTGATGAGGTTGGGAAAACAGGAGGGAGAGATCCTGGTCCTAGGTATAGCACACTCCTCCTGCCCCATGTCCAGATGGAGAAGGAAGTTTGAGAGAAACCAGGGGCCAGTCATCCCCAATCTTCATCACCACTTGCTTCAACCACCATCCCATGCCCATAATTAAAAACAAAGATGGATTTTTTGTTGTTGTTTTTTCTTCCTCTTCCTACCCCCCCTTCCACCCACTCAGAAGAGGGCAGTGAGGTGGGGGAGAGGGTTGGGGCAGTAGGGGGCTTGGAGAGGGTCTCACATTTCAAAACAGCAAAAAATCCAACACTTAAATGAGGTAGGTGTGGGTGCGGGGTCTCCTTGCCCGGCTCGCCCAGCTTGCCCTCCCGGGCAGCTTGATGCCTCTTTCCCGTTCATGTTGCATTTGTCAGAGTGGAAAACAAGGAAACACAACCCATAGAGAGACAGAAACACAGAGGAGAAGAGGGAGACAGAGACAGATTGAGAGGGAAAGGGATGGAGGTGAGGGTGGGGGCAGGACCCGGCAGGCAGGGCCAGGTGTGGGACCCGGCCTTTGGGATTGTCAAGCTTAGTCAAGTCTCTTTGCAGCCTTGAACTGGGCCAGAGAGGTCAGTGGGAGCGGCAGGGCTGTGCCCGGCCACACATCCTCCCCGCTGCTGCCTCCCAGATGCCTCTGGGTAGTTACCGGCCCATAGCCCCTTCAAACCTGAGATACCCAACGGCTGCTTCCGTCTAGCCCCTCCTGGAGCTGGGGGCACAGATGCCAGCCTGGGGCCGATGGCGGGGAAGAGGCTGTCCCTGGTGCCCGGGGCGGACGTGGCCTAGGGCCCTCTGCCCCAGCCTCCTGCGCCAGGGGCTCCGGTCAGCCGGTAGCCCCAACCCTGGGTCCTGGCTCTGGCTGCTACGTCTCTTCCCTCTTATCCCTTTCAGGGAAGAGGTCGGGGTTGGGGGAACTCCCCTGCCTGGTAGCCTCAAAGCTTCTTAGTTCATCCACTTCCGACAATTCCAGGCTCCACAGTGACAGGGGATCTTGTGCTGATCGTCCTCAAAATCAAACTGATAGTCATAGGTCAGCTGGAAAGAAAAGAAGGCACAATCAGAACTCGCCCCCAGGGAGAAGGGCACAGGCTCAACATGACCTCTGAGCAGTGGTATCAGAACTCAGCTCCTGGGAAACGTCAAAGAACTGTCACTCACGCAGGATACTTCCTTTACCTCCTCTCCTTTGGGGATTCGCCGGCTGGAGATGATAATGATTTTGTCTTCCTTGTCAAAGGTCACAACTTCCGCCACACAGTTAGGAGCACATGAATGGTTAATGTACCTGAGCAGTGGGATAATCGCTGAAGTCAAGCAACGCAGTGAAGACAATTTCGCTCCTTAGTTAGCCTGTGCCCAGAGGGCCACCCACAGCGACCCCCAAAACCCATCCTTCCCTTCGCACCTGGCAGGTCCTCCAGTCAATGTAGCGTCAATCACATGTTCATTGTTTATTCGGAACATGTAAATACCTCGGTTCTAGAAAGGCAGAGGTGGCAGAAAAAGGGACAAGAGTATCAAGACAGCAGACTTGAGCTCTGGGTTTGCACGGCACACACCCCTGCCCAGCTTTCTGTCTGCCCCCATGGACCCCAGGCTGACCCTGGCTGAGTGCAGACTGCGCCACAAAAATGGCCAGCCCATACCTGCTCCTCATAGATTTTCTCTCGCCTGTTTGCCACCTCATTGCGAATGATGGTGCCAATATACTCGATGACCATTGTGTGCTTTTCTAGGTCCTTGGCCGCATACAGCCCCAGGCCCTGGATGCGGGAACGAGCCAGGTACACGTTGTTCTTCCACTCGGTACGCAGGCGCCGGTACTGAGATGACTTGGAGTGCACGAACTGCTTGCTGTACGGGGTGTTGGTTTCGCCTGTGAAGGTGCTCTGATATGCCTTAGACATGCTGGTGCTGTTCAGGGTATGGGGCCTGGGAGGTGACACAGTCCGTGACAAGGCAGCTCGCCCTCAGAATAAACACATACCACCCGTCTCCTCCCTGGGACACACAACAAGCCAGTTAGGGGCATGTGCTACCAGCAAGTATTAGAAGTGCTGCTGCAGGAGTAGAGACGAGGTCTCAACCCTGGAGAGGCAGCAACTATCTATGAGGACCCTTCTGATGCTCCGGGTGACAGCCCAGGATGGGAGGGCAGATACGGAGGGAAGGGGGCACCGATTCCCCTACACTGAGCCTGCTCTCCCATCTCCTCATTCTCCCCAGCCTTCTGCCAAACCACATGAAAGGCCATGCTCCTCTGGGGGGTCTTCCCCAAGGAGCCCAGGCCCACAGGTTAAGTTGATGGTTTGCTCAAATGTCTTAGTCCTACCTCCTGCACATGCTGGATGCCCTGAAAACAGGACCTGCATCTACCACATTGCGCTGGACCTGCATTAAAATTGGCTGTGATTCACAGCCTAAACGTGGTACCCTTGCCTCTCTGCAGACCGTCCCATTCTGACATACCATTGGGCTCTGCGCAGGTGGCTCAGTGCAGGGGAATGACCGCTGTGCAGCAGGATGCCTTCACCACCCAAGGGCACCACTCAAGGTCTTGCCCACCCCAGAGCAGCGGTTTTCAAATGTTTGGCTTCTTTATTTAACAGATTTTTTTTTTTTTTTTTTTAAACAAAATGTTGACGGAAACTCCAATCTGTAACTATGTGGAAAAGGAATTCTGGTAGCATCCAATCTGGGGAAGGTAGAAGTAAACATGGGGAGGGCCAAGTTCTGCCCCCAGCTTATGTGCTGTGACTTTTTGGAACACCTGCACTCACAGTTTGAAAACCACTGTTGGAGAGCATCAAGGACCAGGGCTGACTAGGGGTAGTCTCTGACGCTCTACGGCAGCAGCCTCAGGGCTACCACAGGCCTTCAAGAAGTCCCTGCTACCATGGATTCTGCCTCCCTCTACCCAAAGGCAGGCTACTGTGGTACACAGAAAGAACCATGAGCCACAGACCAAGAGGTCGGGGTCTGGTCCCAGCTATGTGACCTATATCCAGTCACGTAGTCTTTCAGGGCCTCAGTTTTCTCAGCTGTGAAATGGGGGTCATACCACCTGCCCTACCTACCTCATAAGGTTGTTGTGAGGATCAAATGAGATAATGGATGTGAAAACGCTTTGAAAAAAAAAGTATAAAGTGCTATACAAATGTAAGATTTTATTATTTTCCTATTATACTTCTAATTATTTTTGACACCAACTCATCCTTGGGGAGGGAAGGTGACCCTAGCGTTTATGGGGTGGGTATCTGAAGTTTGGGAGAATCACAGGCCTCCCGCTGGAAGCAAAGCAGAGAAAGTGACCAGATCCCTTACACAGCTCACAAAATTTTACCCATAGCCTGATAAGGCCTTCCCTAGCAGCCATTCCCAGGGTGCCCAACAAACTGTCCTGCAACACTGACCAACCCCATATACCTCAGCAGACTGGAGAGCAGGAAGGGGTGCCTTGTGATACCTGCATACCCTCTAATCAGGAGGTGTGAGGGAACTCTATCTGCACCCCAAGCCCTCACAACGTGCCCAGACAATCTCTATCAACACCCACACCCACAGCCCACGGCCCAGCTCCACAAGCTCACCGTTTGTAGTGTGTGAGAATTTTGGGCTCCGATCGGGCACAGCCAGTGGGGTTGATCATGAGTGGCAGTTCCATCAGGGGGTGGCGCCCATAGCGGAATAAATAGTTCTGACAGTTCTCTACCCCAGGCAGCTGCAGGAATAGGCAGGTCTCTCCTTAGCCTGAACTCCTACGGGGTGGAGCTGGTCCCCAGTGCCCACCCAGCTCCCCCCAGCCCCCCTTACTGATTCAGCTATGCGCAGTACAGCATGCACCGTCAGGCCAAAGAGCTCCTCGCCCTTCAGGTACTCCGGGAAGAGGCGCAGCATGTCGGCCTCTTTTCTCATGGCAGCCACGGGTTCTATGATGCGATTCCACACAGCTAGAAGGCAGAGAGGAGCCCTCAGAGAAAGCTTCTGCTCACAGCCCTACACACCCTAGCCCCATTCCTCAGCTACAGCTGTTTTCTATGGACCCAACACCACCCTGTCGTGAAGGTATGTGGGTCTTCAAAACCTTACCTGGCTCCTACTCTCATTCTCTTAAGAAGCCAGTTTTTTTGTATCTGTGTATTCAAAATAGTTGGGATAGATATATAGTTACATTCTGTTAATGAATAGAATGATTTGCTCTAATGGTGTTTGTAACTAGGATATCAAGTCCGCATCTTGTACAGCAATTAACCACTAAGAAGAATGTATGCAGTGTGTTAATTATTGAAACTGTCCTAGCGATTTGATTTGAAACTGTCTCATTGCTATTTGTTTATCAATAAAATTATGGCAAAAAAAAAAAAAAAAAGAAGCCAGTTTCAACTCCCTCAGGAGGTAACCACAGCTTGTGACCAAGAAACACAAGGCCAGGTCTCAGGGACCTAGCACAATCACTGTGCTTGCTCAAAGAGCACACAGGTATATTTTGCAGTTAAAAAGGCTGGGATCTGGGTCCTACACCGGGTGTGGAACCGTGAGCCTAATATTGTAATCTCTATGCAAGACTCAATTTCTGTATAAATTAGGCACGATCATTGTATTTATTTTACAGGGTTGTATGAACAAAATAACCTATATAAGTCACTTAATTTTGTGTTATATAGTAAATATTCAACAAATACTACCTGATCTTGTTATTTTTAATATTAATACAAAAACCGAAATCAAGGGTGCCGGGGAGATGGCTCAGGGGAATAAGTGCTTCCCCGGCCAAGTGAAAGGGCCTGAGTTCAATCCCCAGTTCCGCAAAAAAAAAAAAAAAAAAAAAAAAAATCAAAAGAATATCATATAGGAGAAAACAAAACAAACACAAGGAAGTTAGGATCAAGTGTGCGGAATGTTGGGGCCTTATAACTCAATCTTTTAGATGCACTTAGGATAGGAAAATCAGCTAGAATATGTGAAATCAGATAAGCAAAAAAAAAAAGAAAATTTTTTTTAGGCAGTCTCACTATATGGTCAAAGCTGGCTTTAAACTTGCCATGTAACCCACGTTGAATTCAAATTTACCATTCTCTTGCCTCGCCTCCAAAGTCCTGAGACTTCAAGCATGTACCATTAGGCCTGGCACAAGCAAAATATTTCCAATTACAAAGGAATTTAAGGAAACTCAAAGCATGAAAGACTATCTGAGGACTGGGGTATAGCTCAGTGACTTAAGCACCTGCCTCGCAAGTGCAAAGTCCCAAGTTCAATCACCAGTACCACAAAAAAAAAAAAAAAAAGAAAAGAAAAGAAAAAAAGACATTATCGGAGCACACCCCATCCCACAGTATTGGGGATTTTTTTTTTCCCACTGAGCAAGTATTTATGGAGTGCTTACTGTGTGCCAGGTACTGTTTTGTGTTTTTTTTTTCCTCCAACAAACAAGTATTTAAGTACTGGGGATTGAATCCAAGGCCTTCACACAAGGCTACATTCCCAGTCATTTTTATTTTTATTTATTTATTTTTTTGGGCAGAACTGGGGATTGAACTCAGGACCTTGCGCTTGCCATCCTTTTTTATTTTTTGTGACAGGATCTTTTTTTTTTTTTTTAAATTTATTTATTTATTTGTGGGGGGGCAGCCAGCTCAGCCTACCAGGGGGCGGGGCTGGCTGGCATGTGGTGCTGGGGGATTGAACCGCGGTCCCTGTGCTTTGCTAAGCTTGTTCTAAGTAGGTGCTTTAGACCACTGAGCCATCTCACCAGCCCCATGTGACAGGATCTTGCTAAGTCAAGTTGCCCAGGCTGGACTCAAACTTTCAATATTCCTGCCTCAGCCTCTCTTAGTGTTGGGATTATAGGTATGTAACACCACATGCAGCTTTTCTGAGATTTTCAAGAAACTGCCCAATGGGCTGGGGAGATGGCTCAGTAGAGTAAGCACTTGCCTGGCAAGCACAAGGGCCTGAATTCAATCCGTTTCCGCAAAAAAAAAAAAGAAGAGACTGCCCAAGTGGGAGCAGGAGTATTCACAGGGAGGGTTCTGAGACTGTAGTGACCCCGAAGGACCTTTCCCAGGCTACCATCTCAAGGGCCCAGGGCTCACCTTGTGGAGAAGCGTCAGTGAAAACCAGGTCTTCCAAGCCCTGCTCCATGACTCTGACGATGAACTCCGGCCGCCCATTGCTCTCGCCGATGGAGCACCGATAGCTGCAGCGGCGATTGTTGGTCCGGAGGCTCCAGTAGATGCGGGTGGCCTCGTAGCCCACAGGATAGAGGGCAGTGGCACTGTGGAAGTCTGCCATCTGGTGAGGGAGGAGCTGCCCGATGGCGTGGAACACGAGGCCGCCCACACGGAACATGTGCAGCCGCTCTCCCCGCTGGATGATGCTGGCAATCTGCTTCACTTCATCCCTCTCAATGTAGACCCGTCGGAAGACAGCAAAGGAACACAGCTCCTGCTCACAGGGCCCCTTGACCTTATGCATCGGACACAGCATGGTCTTGTCCTTGAAGAACATGCACTTGGCGCGGATGGCGCAGGCAAAATGGTAGACGCTAGGGCAACGCATGCGATTGCAGCTGCTGGTGGCGCCGGTTCTCTGGCACAGGGAGCACTTGGTAAGCAGTCCTCGGTGCAGGGCAACCTCCACGTTCATCAGTGCCCCGCCCTGGGTCTCGTACACCTCCGTGGACCACAGAGCACAGTTGAGGTGCACCCACAGGTCTAGGTCCAAGTTCAACAGGCGGGCAGGCCCGTCCGTGGCTCCGTCACCCTCCTCGTGACAGAAGCAGCAGCGCCGCATATCTCGGGGCACCTTGTCAGGCCGCAACGCTGTGCCAAGCTGCTCCATAAACTCTGCCACTTCCCGCTCATCCTCCTGCCGCCCGCTGCCCTTCTGGATGGTTAGCAGCAGCCGCAGCCGCTTCCAGCGCACCCCCTTCCACTTCTTGAGGAGAGGGGGCCGGGAATCTTCACCTTCTTCAGAAGGCCGGGCGCGGGCCTTGGGACGCGCCGATTCAGGAGATGAGGCCAATGGCAAGGGTGAGGGCACTGGTGGCTCAGCTAAGGGTTCAACGGGAAGTTCAACTAGCGGATCGGCAGGAGGGCTGGCAGGAGAGGGCGCCAATGGGGACGGGGGTGGGGAGGGTTCTTCCGGAGGTGGGGCCGAGAGCTGTCGCACATCCAAATTGGAGACGCTGTAGGTGTAGCTGTGCTGTGTGGGCAGCTCTGGGGCAGGGCTCTCCTAGGAGAGGGTTCCAGGATCATCAGTGCCAGCCCCTGGGCCAACCCCCCTTCCCTGCAACCCAGATCCATTCCCTCAAAAAAGCCTCTGCCCTCTTTGCCCAAGGCAGCACCTTTTCCTAACACTTGCCCCTTTCTCTCCCCCAGGCCCACCTGTTTCAGGAGGCTCAAGATGTCTAGCTGGCTTTTGAGAGTGTAACCAGGCAATACTGCATCAAACTGTTTCAGCCAATCAGGGCCACAGTCTGAGGTCTTGCTGCTTGGATTTTTTTCTTTCCCACCTACAGGAAGAAAGAGGTCAGAGCCTCCCAAGAGAGCCAGTTCCCTCTGATCCCAAGGTACCTTCCTTCCCCCGACACTAAGGAGCTGCCCCACTCACCAGGGCCCTCGGCTTCCCCCTTCTTAGGCTCCATGCCAGCACGGGCAGGGCTCTCTGGGAACAGCACCTCATAGGAGTTGGGGATCTTCATGCTTAATAGTTCAGCCACTGCCACCATCACACCGTTTAGATTCTGCCAGGGCAGGGAGAGTGACGGGAGGCATGTAAGCAGAGCATCTGATGCTAGTGCCAGCTGTGCGGGCAAGGATACCTTGAACCCACTGCCCTCGGGGCTGGTCAGTGCGGCCCGTGCTGCTCCAACTCTTCTCACACCTCCCTCCTTTATAGCAGCTGCACCCAGGCAGACACTCAAGAGGGGCACCACAAGCACAGAAAAACTGCATTCAGGAGGGGATGTCTATTGTACCCACAAGGAGATTCACTCCACATCTGCAAATTAGAAGGACTTAGGAGTCTTGTAGTAAAAAAACAAGATTGGCACTGTTGTTTTAACTGCGTTTTCCAACTTTCTCTGACCATAAAACCCCGTTAACTCAAAAAACTCTTACTCTCACCCCATAGCCTCTAGCCCCAGCTTTCACAAGCAGCAAGGACTTGGGAGTCGTTTCTGAAAAGCACATTTTTTATCGAGTGACTCTCCTCTGACCAGGGTCCCCGCTGGCCTTGCCTCAAGGCACCCCCAAGAGATACCTTGGCTGCAGCAGCGGAGACGGTCAGCATGACAGAAACCTCACTCCTCCTGCCCCTCTCCCAAGCTGCAGCAGGCAGCTTTCCAGGAGCCTCCACATCCAGGGCCCCACATGGTTTGGTATCAGGGAAGACTGGAAGATAAAGAGGCGCGTGTGCAGTCTCGGCGGCTGCCCTGCCCTTGGCTTCTGACTCTCCAGCCAAGCTGGGCCAGGCCCACGCCCAGAGGGAGCAGTATATACCTGGGATACTGGCCCGAGGAATGATCGGGATGACAGGGGAAAGGACCCGGTTGTCCTGCTCCCCCCGGCCAGAACCCAGCTGAGGGAAACGAGGGGCCTCCTCTCCCAGGATGCTCTCAGGGGATGAAGCTGGTACAATACTGTCAGGAGAATCACTGTCCTCATCACTCTCCATCCTGTGGGCCAAATGCAGACATCCATTCGCATCACTCTGTGAAGTGTCCCTCTCAAATCTAGAGACCAGCAGGTGTCAGACCCTTCCTTTATCCACCCCATACTCTATCACCATTTTCAGCTCCACCCTCACCTGACATCTTCAGTCTGATTGTGAGGGGGCGTGGGCAGGGCAGCCAGCAGGTCTAGACTCTTCACTTCTGAAGCATCTAAGGGACGGGTAGAAGCCAGTGTGAGGAAAGCCAGAGCAGATGGAGATCTCTCCCCCAAACTGCAGGCCCAATTAGCACAAGATCTTAGCTTAGCTATTATGACTAACCATCTGCCCCCTCCCAATTTGGGGCAGATAAGCTGTATCGATCAAGCCCTTCCACATGCCAAACACTGGACTTTAGCTACATTCCTTTTTAAATAATCTTTTAACAACTCCATTAGCTGAATGCTTAATTTTATCTTTTTCTTCAGTGCAGGGGCTGAATCTAGAGAGTGCTAATCTTCTGGTTTTTTTTTTTTTTTTTTTTAAATCTCCCATTCTTTATCTTCTGGCTTTTTGAGACAGGACTCACTACATAGTTCAGGTTACCCCTGAGCTCAACATGTAGCCCAAGCTAACTCGGAGTGATGCTCCTGCCTCAGCCTCCTATGTGCTGGGATTACAGGTGTGACACCATCCTGGCTTTATTTTCTTATTTTAAGACAAAAGTCTCCTTAAGCTGTCCAGCCCGGACTGGAACTTGCCATCCTCTTGCCTTAGCCTTAGTAGCTGGGCTTACAGGCATGGATTTATGATCATGCCTCACTGATGAATAGTAAACATCCAATTTAAGTAAGAGGAGAGACCAAGGCTGACACAAGCCAACCAAGTCACTTGGTTGAAGTAATGTGGTACACCAACTACCAGAAACCAAATCCAGGTCAGTCCATAGTGCTACACCCGTGAAAGCTGGACTGTGCTTTCTACACAAAGCTTCGTTCAAATTGCCCTGCTACCAAGCTTCCCTGTTGCCTTGGCCCCAGATGCCAGAAGCCTATCCTTGTCCACAACAAATCAGCTCTGCCGAGGCCCCTCCCACCAAGGCAAGCAGCCAGGCCGAAAGCGCGCAGGGAGCACATAACCCCTCATGCCTTGCACTGTGCGGCAGGCTATACTAACTGCTTGGACCCCAGTTGGATTGCCAATGGGAAGAAAGTCACCTCTTTGCATACCCCTCAGTGTCCCTTCAGTGTCCCCGGCAGAGGCTGGATCCCTGGGGTGCTCCCCCAGCTCTTCGGAGGGAGTGACGCCATTCACCATCTTCTGCTGCACCGATGGGGGTGGGGTGGGGGGCAGCGACGAGGGTGGTGTCGGCGGGTTACTCAGGTTATTCTGAGGGGTGGGGTGGTGTTGTGTACAAAGTGGCAGGGACACTGATGTAATCTCTCGGCCCCACACTAATCAGCAGTTTCCTCCAGCCCCCCCCCCCCACCTCCCTTAGAACATTATTCCCAAAAAACACTGCCATTTTTCTGACCTTGGTAAGCAGCTGGGAATAGTAGTCAGGGCCAGTAGGCAATGCCCCACTCCCAAAGGCCCCTCTCAGCTGGCTCTGCCCACTGATTGGGCAGCTGCTGCCGAAGGGAGCAAAGAGGCTAAAGTTGGCGGTGATGGTAGGCTCTGTCAGAGGCAGTAGGGACAACTCCTAGAGGGGTTGAAGGACAAAGTCAGAAGCTTGCCTTTGCACCTCTATCACTACACAGCATCTTGGGGTGGGGGCATGGGCTGGCTCCTGGGGGTCACCTGTTTCAGCTGTTTCAGCAAGGCCTCATTGGCCCTGACTGCATCCTCCTTCCGCAGCTTCTTTCGGGAGCTCACCAACCTGTCGCTTGCTTTCTGTATCCGCTTGGGCTTTGGTGTCAAAGGCTTCCTTGCTGCTGTATCCTAAGCCAGATAAGCCTTGTGAAGACCACTGCCCTAGTCCCTGGAGCCCTCACCTGTGCACCAACCGATGTTTGCTCTGCCCCTGCCCTCCAGGCCCCATATGACCTACCCCACGTTAGGCAGAACTCACCTCCTTGTTGCTGGGGGTTCCCTGTAGTTTCTGCTCCAGCCCGGCCAGCTTGCTGTCAATGTGCCCGTTGATCTCAGCTCGCGGCCCCTCAGGCCCCCGCCCAGCGCTGAGTTGCACATTCTTTGCACGCAGAAGCTTCTGCAAGAGCAGATGCCCAGCTTCTGAGCGGGGGCCTGCCAGCAGGAGGTGGTTGCTGGTACCTGATGTCCCTACTGGTTCCCCATTGGCCTCCCTCTTCACCGCCTGGGCTCCCAGGACACACGGTTCTTCCCGAGGCTCCTGCTTGATGCTGAGTTGGGGTGGCGCAGGTGCCATTTGTCCATTCACCTGCTCCAGGTGCCCAGGGCCCAGGCTGCACTGCTCTGGCTTCTGGGCCTCTGCTAGGTTGTCTGGGGGGTCCCAAGGTCCCAGCCCCTTGCCAAAGAAGGTATCCGCAAGCTGGGCAGCAGCAGGTGAGACCCTCCCAGGAGGCAGCTCCAAGGCTGGCCCCTGGGGCCTTGGGGTGCCTGGATGGGTGGAAGTGAGCTGTGTGCTGGGGGAAGGTAATTGTGAAGGTCTCTTTGGCTCTTGAGGGCTGGATGGTGGAGGTGTGGGATGGACAGGGCCAACGCCTGGTCCTGTGGATAAGGCTCCTTGTGGGACAGAGAGCCGGGGTGGGCCCTGAGGTCGAGGCCCTGCCCCTAGCTCCTGGAGAGGGCCTGTCTGGGATCCAGGGAGGCCCCCAGATTGAGGTTGGCAGCCCAGGAGGCCCTGGAGAGGTGAGGGCTGGGTCCCTGGCTCCTGGTAGGGTGGATTCTGGCGTACTGCCTGATTCTGCTGCAGCTGCCGTTGCAAAAGTAGTGCCTGCAGCTGCTGCTGCTGCTGAGGACTCAAGTGCCGCAGCTGTGGGTTTTTGGCCAGGACTCCTTGGAGCTGTGCTCGAAGCTGACCCACTGTTGGTGTGATTGCAACCCCAGAGAGACCTTGCCCAGACGGGGGAACAGATCCTGGTTTGGGAGGCTGTGGCCCTGCATTATTCTGCATGGGTCGCTCTAGCCCAAGGGGCTGTTGGGGGCCCAGAACACTCTGGGGCATGGGCCCGGGCTGCTCCCCTACAGAAACAGAGGGTTGGGCCAGCAGGTGGGGCACAGATGAGGCCTCAGAAGATGATCCGCTGCCTACTTGCCCATGGCTTCCTACACCTGCTGTGTGGAGCAAGTTAACTTGCTGCTGTGGTTGTCCTGGGAGTCTCAAAGGTGGCTGCAGCTGTAAAGAGTTGGACTGAGTCTGGGCCTGGGGTTGGACAAGCAGAAGTTGTGAGTCCCCAGAGAGGGAGGGTTTTACCTCCCCTGGTTCTGTAGCCACTGACTCAGATGCGGGCCCTACTGTTACTGGCCCTCCCTGATGTGCTGAGGGACCCTCAGTGAGCTCTGAAGGAAGAGCTGTCTCTACAGTGTTTTGTTCCTTGCCCGTCAGAAGGAGGGTTGGGCCCAGAGCTCCAGGGCTAGAAAAGTGTTGAAGAGGCTTGGCTGGCATGCCAGGGCCAAGTGTCACCTGCTGTTGTTGTTGCTGAGGAGATAACAAAGTTCGAGTCTGGTTCAAGAGGCACATCTGCTGCTGCTGCTGTTGCTGCTGCTGCTGCAAAAGCTGTTGCTGTAGCTGCTGCTGCTGCAGTTGCTGAAGCTGCTGCTGATGCTGAAGCTGCTGCTGTTGCTGCTGTTGCAGTTGCTGCTGCTGTAGCTGCTGCTGTTGCTGCTGCTGTTGTAGCTGCTGCTGCTGTTGAAGTTGCTGCTGCTGCTGTTGTAGCTGCTGTTGCTGTAATGAGCCCAGGGGCTGAGCATTCAGTTTGGCCTGCCCACTGTGTGACATCAGGCCCTGCTGAAGATGGGAAAGCCCTGCCATGGGTCCCTGTTGTTGGTGCTGTTGTGGCTGTTGTTGCTGGGCTGTGACCAGTCGATGTCCCATAAGGCTATGACCCTGCTGTGCCAGCTGGGGAGAACTCAGCACCCGGGACTGGGTCATGAGCACCGGTCTGGGAGGGCCCTGGGGCCCCAAAGCTCCGGAGTGCTGCTGTAGCACTGCTACCTGGGTAGGACCCAGCATGCTCCGGGGTCCTTGGGGTGGCTGAGGGGATAGCTGCTGGGCCAGAAGGCTCTGGTGGCTGTCAGGAGGCAGAAGCCCCTGGGATTTGGGACCCAGAGCCTGGTTTGCCTGTAAACTAGGACCCTGCTGCTGTTGTTGCTGGACTGCCACCTGTCCTAGGTGCTGCTGCTGCAGTTTCTGGGCCAACTGCATGCGTTGCTGCTGCAGCTGCAGCTGCCTTTCCTGTAAAAGCCTTGAGTCAGGTCCAAGGCTTCGGAGAGCAAGGTTGCCAGGGAAGAAGCCCCCTGAGGGGCCAGCCAAGGATCCAGCCCCACCAGACTGCTGTTGCTGCTGTTGCTGCTGCTGGGCCAGGGCTGTGTTAAGAAACGGGCCCCCAGGCTGTCCAGGTAGTGCCATACCCCCAGGAGGCAGGCGAAGGCCTCCAGCTTGCCCACCCGGGGGACCCTGTGGTGGCTGCAGCCCATGGCCAGGGAGAAGCTGCCCCGGGAGCTTGGTGAGGAGTCGTGGACTCTGAGAAGGGCTGAGGGCCAGCACAGCCGAATGCTGCTGCTGCTGCTGCTGCTGCTGCTGCTGCTGCTGCTGCTGCTGCTGCTGCTGCTGTTGCTTGTTTCGATATTCTGCCATGAGATTAGTGTGCTCCTTCTGCTGTTTCCGAACCTAAGTCAGATGGGTCAGAGAGGTCAGCCAGGAGCCTGCCCACCCACTCACTTTTATCCCTGGCTTCTGGTGCTAAGCTGAAGTTAATTTTCTCACCTGATCCAACTGTTTCTGGATCTTGCTCTGCTGCTCTGTAACCAGCTTGAGCTTCTCAGCATCAGCTTCTGGGAATTCACGGCCAGCCTTTTTGGCAGTGCGCTGCTTGGCACACAGAGCCTTCCGGGACTTTCGATGCACACCAATCTGCTCCTCTAGAACCTTCAACTGCATCTGCAAGAGCTGCTGAGTATGGAACAACCACTCCTCATACTGCCGCTGGTCCGCCTCATCTGGGAGAGGAAGTAGGGTATCAGAACCTGCCAAATGGTAACTCCAATCCTCCCCCTCCGCAGGTCTCTAGCCACTTTCTTATACCTTCCTCCTATGCCCCATACTCACTGATAACTCCCTGGGCAAAAGTGGGTGGGTTGGGGCGAGGCTGGGAGGGGTCACTGGCATTCCGCTCCTGTGGTAAGAGACACTGCTGAGTGTCACTGCTCCATGCTAGGCCTCCAGAGATGGCCCAGCATCCTAACCTAAGTTTATGTTCCTCCCTGAAAACTTACCTGGCCACTTCCAGGTGCCACATGGTTCTGCAGATCACCCCCAGGTCCCCCAGAGAGCCTCTGGGCTAGCAGTGACACTTGCTGCCTGGAGTCCATCAAAGCATAATGGATTAAGTGTTGACAAAGGTCAAGTTAAAAGGCAAAGAAGTGTGTCAAGCAGTGAGGAAGGCTAAACAGGGAAGGGAGATGACTGAAAAAACAAAGGGTCGGCACTACCCTAAGCCCAAGACTCACCTGTTCATACCAGGCGCCACCCCAATGCTGCCCTGAGCCATCACTTTCTTGATGCCTTTCAAAGCTACCATCTTGGCCTTTGCAATGGGATCAATTATATCTTCTGCAGCAAATTTGTCCAGATCTGGAAAGAAGAGGAGCCAAATGAGCTGGGCTTGGGGGTGGGGGGCAGGGACCTATCACATGACTGCTGTCTTGCACCCTGACCTCAACTATGCTATGGGAAAAAAAAAAGACAGACATGGCACAGCAGAAAGACCACTAAGGAACCAAGAAGCCTTGTTATTCAGAGGACATGTAACCCTGTTTTTACTTGTAGAGTGCTAGAGAGACTCTAAATGGAGCAGATTAATAAACTTCACCTCTCTAAATCTCAGTTAATTTCTATTTGATAAGGATCATCACTACTCTGCCTACCTCTTGAAACTATATAGAGGACCAGATGTAACAAGAACATTGGTTTATGACCTAAAGGTATTCTTCAAAAGTCTTAAGGGGGCCGGGGAGATGGCTCAGTGGAATAAGCGCTTCCCTGACAAGCGCAAGGGCCTGAGTTCAATCCCCGGTTCTGCCAAAAACAAAAAAAACAGTCTTAAGTATAACTAGTACAGCTCAAGAACCCCAGATGTGGGCATTGTGGCCAAGTCTTCGATATCTGAGCTGTTAGGGACACAAAAGAACATCATCCATTGTCCTTTCAGTCCAGGTTGCTGGGTTTAAAAAAAAAAAAAGAAGAAATAAGCAATCACCAAAATCCTCCTAAAGTTCTGTACTTGGTATACATCTCCACTCTAAACTGTTCAGAGCTTAACTGACTCACCACTTTTTTTTTTCTTTTTGAGGCAGGGTCTCACTGTGTAGGCCAGTCTGGCCTTACCTCACTACACAGCCCCACTTGGCCTCAAACTCAGTGATCCTCCTGCCTCAGCCTTGAAAGTACTAGGATTACAGGCATGTGCCACCATACCCAGCTTGACTCACCACTTTCTGAAAGACTAGCCAAACACAACATGTTCTGGAATTCTGAGGCAATGAAGTACTAGTTATATCTACACTAACTACTGTATAATCTTAGATAAATAACTTCTCTATTTCAGTTTCCACTTCTGTAATCTAACACAGTTAGTACCTATTAAGATGATCCTGCCGTGATGACAAGGACGGTAAAGTACCCAGCATATTCCTCAGCAAATAGCTAATTACTCAATAAATGTACTGTGAGTTGAGGTCGTCCTCAATATGGTCCCACTTCTTACCTCCCCACAACTATGGTAGGGCCCACTCATTTTTCACTCACTGTTCTCCAAAAATACTCCGTTTCCTACCACTACAGCCTCAATCTTTTCACAAACCCATATCACTTGTTCTTGCACACGTCTCTGAGTTCTGAACTTTCAACCTTACCACAGCCACAGACTTTGCTAGTCAGGCTTCACTCATTCCGCTTATTCATTCACGTATCTGAATGCTTCCTCTATGCAAAGAACCACTCCCTCCCTTCATAAAAGCAACGGTGCCCTCTGCCTACATCACCACTAGGATACTGAGCCAAGTTCTTTGTCCTCTCCCTCTACTAGGGCTTATCTTACAGTCCTAACTTCAGTGCCTGGTTGGTGGTGATAATCATCATCCAAAAGAAACTCAACCATGCCAAAAGCTGAGGTTACCTGTATCTGGGAAGAAGCTGTTGGCCAGCTGTTGCTGCATCACCAGCTGCTGGGGCTTCATGCACATGGAAGGTGGCATGGTGCCCATGGGTTTCTGTGCTAGTACTGGCTGTGAACTCTGCTGTGGAACCAAGCCGGCCTGCCCCCCATGCTGTCCACTTAGCATATGCCCTTGGTTGGACACCATGGCCATGGTTGGGGCAAGGCGCTGCTGGAGGGCATGAGCTGGTGGATGGGTGGGCATTAGTGGTTGGCCCAAACCTGATGGTCGGGCACCTCCAAGACCCAGAGCAAGTTGCTGCTGAGGCCCAGCCAAACTGGGAGAAGAGCCCTCATGTGGTAAAGGCATTGCCTGGGCAGGGCCTGGTGTGGACAGTAAGGAATGTTGCTGCTGTGGCTGTTGCTGTTGGTGCTGCTGGGCAGGCTGTAGCTGTGCTGAAAGCTGCTGTTTCTTCTGCAACTCCTTCTTCTCATGTTCCAACAGGTCCTCAATAAGTAGGGGCAACTCACTGGCCACAAGTGAGCTCTCCATCTTGTCCAGATCATCCCCTGATGTTCCATGTCCACTTGGCAAGGTCAAGGCCCCACTCTCTAGCTCAAGCTTCTCTAGCAAGGAGGACCCTCCTGTGCCACTTAGTGGGCTTGGGGCGAGCAGGTGAGCTGGTGGGCCTCCCGTGGCCCCAAAAGGGCCCTTCTCAGCCGTGTGCCCATTGCCAGAAAATGGCCCTGTGCCCATCCGGGTGTCCCGGCTGCCCAGCACATTCTGTCCGGGTTTTAGCCCTGGGCCAAGGGAAGCAGCAGCAGGTCCTGGCTCTACCTTAGGAGTGGTAATGGTGAACTGGCAAGGGGAAGGGTGGCGCCCACCCTCCTCCACTTTGGGCTTCACCTCAGGGAGTACAGACGCCAGGCGGGACTCATCACTGGCAGGGGGAGGGCGCTCCTCAGGGCCCAAGGGTCCTGGCTCCCCACCCCGAAGCAGGGCCTCCCGCTCGGCCTTCTCATTTGCCGATTCCACCAGCCTTAGGTGCTCATTGAAGATGTCTTTCTTGTCCCCGGTGTCCAGCTCAGGGTCCGTATATGCCAGCAGGTCAAACTCATCTCCATTGAGCAGGTCATCCAGATGAGGGTCGTTGGTCTCCAGGTTTTCCAGGGTGCCCAGCTCATCATCACCCTTGGCCACATCCACACCAAGACCCAGGTGGGCAAGCTCCTCATCATCCTCCAGGGCCTTGTGGGCATCAAAGTCCTCGTCCAGCTCAGAATCCTCACAGGGCAGCTTCCCAGCTTCCAGGGCCAGGGCAGGGGCACGGCCCAGCTCAGTGCCAGTGGGCGGTCGGGGGACCAGATCTAAGCCAGCCGTCAGTGCGGGGGCCTTGGTGTGAGATGTCGAGTGGAGGCTACTGTTCAACTCAGGAGCAGGTGGGGCTGTGGGTTTCTGTGAGGGAAGACTTGATGCAGCCAGGCCTCGAAGACCTTCAGGAGCCAGGCGGTGGGCATCCTCACTTACAGGGAAAAAACGGGGCCTCTGAGGGGCGCCCTGACCAGGGAATGGAGGCCCTCCAGGTCCTAGTCCTTTCTGAACATTGTGCCGTAGCTCAATGAACTGGGCAGGACCAGATGGACCAGCCACTGGCTCAGCAGGGCCTGGCAGGCGGGTGGGAATTCCTGTCAAAGGGGAAGCAAGTGCTTGGCGGCCAAGTTCAGGTCCAGCAGTTGAAGGAAAGCGAGTAGACATGGTGAGTCGCATGGAAGTTGCTGCTGTTGCCTGCTGTTGCTGCTGCTGTTGCTGTTGCTGCTGCTGCTGTTGTTGCTGCTGCTGTTGCTGCTGTTGCTGCTGCCATAGCTGCTGCTGTTGCTGCTGCTGTAAGGGCAGGGATCCAGGATAGGGCACTCGCTGATAGAAGGCCTGGGAGCCTCCTACCAGTTGCCTGGAAGAATACACAGTTGTTGGTGAGACGCAGTCAGGCTGCAGAGCTAAGAGGGGGCTGGGGCAGTGAGGAAGAATAGAGTTAAACCCGTGGGAGTAGGGGGCTTGAGAGGAAAAACAAGATACCAGAGGAAGATTAGTGAGAGGAAAATCAAAGGTAGCATGGAATGGTGATGAATGTGCCCCTTGGGTTATTCCCAGGGACCTTCCTGGAGACTCACCGGCTATTCACATCCACAGAGGAAGGTGTGGCTGGTGGAGGTGGTCGGGAAAGCCGGTCATCACCAGGAAAAGGCCCTGGTCCCAGGATGGGGCCACCCAGCTTGCTTGGGGTTAGGCCCACTAGGCTGCTCTTGTCCTAGAAGACAGAGTGAGTGAAGATGGGGCCATTTTCAGTACCATGGCCTCAACACTCCCTGCTACTCTACCTACCTGTGTCCCAGGGAATGGAGTCTGGCCTCTGTTCAGCTGTTCAAAGGCAGGGCTGCTGGGCTCTGTACCCCAGCTGGCTGGGTGTCCTAGTGCACCTGCAGCTGCTGCAGCTGTCTCTTTCTCCTGCCGCAAGGTGTTGCGCTGGATCTGCTGCCGAATCAGTAGCTCCCGGAGTCGCTGGCGCTGTGCAGGAAACAGTAAAGCAAAGTAAGTCCACTCTATCCCAATTATGTGGCTCACCTACAGATAACAGAGACATGGGAGCTCAGTTCTGAGGTATCACTCACCTGCCGTTGCTTTTCCAGCTCTGTCTGACTAAGACTGGACATGCCTGGGTCCTGGGTACCAGGGAGTTCAGGTGCCACCAAGGAGCTACTCATTGCAGCCCCTGGGTCTTCTCGCTTTTCACCCGGAGAGGTGATGCCTGCCCGTTGTGAGGCTCCATGGGACAGGAAGGGGAGGGATCCATCGGGTGCAGGTGGTGGCAGAACTGAGGCAGGACGCAGTGGGGATAGCCCGTAGCCCTCCCCTGTGGGCCCGCTGCTGGGCCCCAGGGGGCTGCCCACTGAGTGGAAGTTCCCGGTAGCCACTGAGTAGTTTGTGCTTTGAGGCTTGCCCAAAGTGGGCCCAGGCCCAAAATGGCTGTTGATCCCATGAGGTGGAGGGAGACCAGGCTGAGGGACAGGTGGCTTTAGGGAAGGGTCCCCTACACCCTGAGGGAAAGTGAAACGCATGGGAGAAGGGGTGCCCACAAATGCACCTGTCCCAGGGGAGCGGGCAAAATTTGGGGGCTGTCCACTAGGGACCTTGGCATGGAGCTCACCCACTGGCCCAGAGGGCAGGGCTGCTGGGAAGCCCCCGGCCCCCAGTGGAGTGTGGGCAAGAGGCCCAGCCTTAAAGGCAACTTCAGGGGGCTGGGGTCTTGGTGGCTTATGCAATGGAGCAAATGGGTCTCGGGACTGAGGTCGTGAGGGTGGGCGCGAGTAGGGGTCAGGGGACTGGAAGCGAGGAGTAACAGGGGATGGGCAAAAAGCCTCTGCTGACAGAGGACGGGGAGTAAGGGGGGACTGGGAGCTGGACTGGGACTGAGGACTGGCCGGGACGCGAGAGAAAGGCTCGGAAGGCAGCGAGCGAGGGGGTAGAGCGCAGCAGCTCTCAGAGGGCGGGGGTGGGGGCTGGGGCCTTGGGGTCAGTGGAGGCTGGGCATAGGGGTCCGGGTAAGGACCTGGGCGAAAGGGGTCTGGATGGCTCGGCGGAGAGGGGGCCAGCGCCTGGGCAGGGGATGGGTCCTGGGGCCGAAGACCCAGGCCTGGGCTCTGCGGCTCTACCTGAGAAGCCCGAGGGGTCAAAGGGGCTTTGAAGACGTCAGGTGCCTTTAACTCCAGGCCACCCAGGTGGGGGCCTGAGGAGGGCGAGTCCACAAAACCTAGGTTTGAGGGCCCGTAGCTAGGAGAGGATGCCCCAAGCTCTTCCTTCTTCACCTCCAACACCTTCCGGGTCTCCCCAAAAGCCGGTGGTGAGAGCAGGGGCTCAGAAGCCTTGCCCCCCACCACCCCTGGGCTCTCAGGCACAGCCAAATTATCCAGGGAGGGGCAGCGGGGCTTAAGGAAGGGGTCAGGCGTGGAGGGCTGGTGTCGGGGGGTGCCAGGAGGAGTGGTGTGGAGTTCCCCTGGCTGGCCAGTCCCAGGACGAGACGAAGCACCCAGCATCGGGGGCTGCGCGGGGGCCCCAGCTGGACTGGGGTAAGGAGGGTAGGTAGGTGGTGCCGCAGGGAAGCGGGGCTCCAGGGCGTAGGCAGGGGCCAGTCCAAAGGGGTCCTGCGAAGGCACTTGGGCGGGCACCTGGGGTGGGAGCTTGAGGAAGAGCTCACCAGGGGAGTCGGGGCCGGGCACTGTGCCCGCTGGCGGCTTCAGGAACCCGTCCGCAGAGGTAGACAAGCCGGCAGGGGTAGTGGGGCTGCCAATGAAAATGGTGGGGGCCGCAGCAGGGAGTGGACTGCCCAGTGCCGCTGGCTGGGGGGGAATGCGGAGATGGAGAGCCGGTCGATCAGTCTTACGGGCTACGTCGCCCACCTTGGTCTGCTTGTTGATCTGGCTCTCGGCCTGCTATAGGGGGAGACCAAGCAGAGCGCAGTCAGGCTGCTGCGGAAAGGTCCTTCACCCCTGCCCCAGATGGGCCATCTGTTACACGACACCGATAGACCGGTCTGGCCCAACCCTACTCACCTTCTGCACCTTGTTGATGCGGTGAGCTGCCCGATTATCTTTGGCCTTTTGCTGGGGGACATAAGACACAACACAAGGCCTAGCATTCAGTCTCCAGCCCAGCCCAGCCCTCAACACATCACTTACAATCCCCACCCAGAAGCTGAACCCCCCTTCCTAGGCCCAGCTCCTTGGGTGGGGTTCAAGGAGGGACTGAGAGCCATGTCCCAGAGATACCATCCTCCACCTGGTTCTCAGGCTGGCCCGTGCTGTGTCTCACCAGGTAGGGGGCTTTGTCAGCAGCTGGAACCTTTCTCCAGAGCTTCATGATTTGTTTGCATCGGCTAGACCAGTCTGAAGGCAGAAACTGAGTCAGAGGAGACTCCACCTGCCAGGCGAACAGGCTGTTTCCCTTGTCCTCACCCCACAAGTACCTGGGTAATCTTGCTTGAGATTAGGAAAGTTGATGTTGGCATAGAGTACAGGTGAGATGGTAGAGAGCTGACCCAACTCTTCGTCCTTCTCCCAGCGCTGCAGGCTCCTCTGGTTATAGGACAACCCATCGCCTTCACCCTCCGTGGTGGGGGTAGTGGGTGTGGAGGGCGTGGTGCCCCCTGAGCCTGTCCAGGGGCTGTCTGGCTCACCGGGTTCTGGGCTAAAGAAGCCCCCGCGCTCCCTGGGGCGCAGGGGCAGAGAGTCACAGGGGGCAGAGATGCCAAGCCCTACCCATATGCCCAAATGTCTTGCCCCCACAGAGGAGAGCCACCAAGAAAGTGGGGCAGGCAGAGGAAGGGTCACTGCCGTGGTCCACACAGCCAAGGAAGGCAAAGTACAGACTCTCCTGGAGGAAAGACTAGCTGTGACTACCCACTGAGGTTAAGCACAGATACTAACCTAGAATCCAGGAATGGAGACTGGCAGAGGCCTGGGTAGGAGTCCATTGGACTGCTGGAAGGCAGATTGCCCAAAGGGAGTCCACCTATAAGAGGGACAGGATCAGAGAAAACTTGGTCTCAGCGCAGGCTTAGTGATGGCAGTCTTCAAACTACTCCCCCCCTGCATCACCTTGGAGAAAGGGCCTCTGCAGCGGGGTGCGACTGCCTTCCAGGCCGGGGGTTGTACAGCCCAGGGGCTGCTCTCGCTCAGAACCCAGAACATCCTTGAAGAGCTGCTGCAGGTCCTTGGACTCCATCTTGGGCAGTTCTATTAGAAAATGATGAAAGGACACTGCTAAGACAACGAAGAGGTACAGTGACACCACAGGGCTACAAATGCTCACACCCAGGGGAAGAGTACAGTGGCCTTTCCTGCTCCTCACCACCACCAAGTTCCCCAATAGAGAAGCTACACACATCAGTCCTATAGGTAGGACCCTCTCCTCTCCCAACAGAAGACCCTTATATGTGAACAAGACCCTGGTAATCTCACCTTCTGTGGAAATCCTGTCTAAGTCAGAACTAAGCATCCCTTCTCCTGGGGTGCCTGGCTTCTCAGGGTCACTGGGCACTGGGGATGCCTTTACACCCCCATCCTCAAGTCCTGCAATTACCAGGAGAAACCATCAGCCAGGGCCATGAGGTATGGAAGTACCACCCTGAATCACAGTGCAGCACAGCAGTTTCTAGTGCCCGGGATCAGAACAGACTGAAAGAGGTAAAGCCAAGATGAGACACTCTCACCTGGTGTATCTGCCATGCCCTCCAGGCCGCGGGATTCGTCATCTGCAACATCTGGACCATCATCTCCTACAAGCAACAGTCCACACTCCAGTCAGACAGTCGATGCCTGATGCCCAGGCAGTGCCCCAGAGCCACAGAGCAGGGCCCTCAGGCCACACATACTCGCCCCACACCAGACACCCTTGCCCATTTTGAAGCAAGAGGCAAGTTGGATATCACTAACCTTTCTGCAAAGTGAGGAGCTCCTTCCTTTCTGAGCTTCCATCTCCCCGGGCTTTGGGGGTTCCTAGCCCAAAACTTGGCCGGCCCATCCCAACTGCAAAAAGGGCCTTCCGGCTGAGGTCCAGCAGCTCCTTCCCAAAGAATGCTTCCTGAGGAAGGAGAAACAGCTCCTGGCTGCCCTGTAGGCACAGACACACCCCTCCCCTCGGAGCCGGAAACCCACCTGCAGGTAGGTGGGGAACATGTCCTCAAGTTTGCTCTTCTTGCGCCCTCGCCGCTGCTGCTTCTTCTTCTCGTCCCCATCAGGCACGCCCTGCTCTGTGGCGCCCTCAGCAGGCAGGTCAGTAGGCACTGCTGTGGAGGACAGTGAGAGGAGCTCGGGCCTCTGAGGCCCAAGGCACGCCACATGCACCTGCGCTTCCTGCCCCTCCGCCCCACAGCTGGGGCACTGTCCTCTGACCACCACAGTGAGCCCAAGCCCTGTCCTCCCTGGCCCTGCCGTGGCACTGTGGCTCCCACCTTCTCCCAGGCCCAGTAGTGCCCTCACCCGTCTCACCCTCGTCGGGCTGCCCATCCCCACTCAACACCTCCGCCTGTGCAGCAGGCCCCTTTTTCACACGTGTATGGGATTTCCGCTGTCGCACCATGAAACCACCGATACCTATGAGGAGGTGGAGCTGAGGATGAGAAGCCACTGGGACCTGGTGAGCTGCCCCCTCACCACCCAGTGCCCCATGCCAGGGCCTCACCAGGCCGATAAGGTTTGCGCTTGCGCTTCTTGCTTTCTTCAGTCTCTTCTTTGCCAGGTTCCACATCAGGGCTAGCAGGGCCCTCCAGTTTAATTTCACACTCCATATGCTCCACTCCACCTGCTGAAAGAACCAGGGTTATGGGCACCCTTGTCAGCATTCTGTACAAAGCACTCACCACCTTGCTTAGAGTACCTGGACAAGACTGCTTGAGGGTGGCAGTTGGCCCCAGCCAAATCCCAATTCCCACAGGTGCCAGCCCACTACTTTTGCTGCCCTTGAGCCCAACCTTCTCCCTTGAGCAGTTCATCGGTGTCCAGGTCCCCATCCTTCTTGTCATCAGGGCCAAGGGCATCTGAGGGCTCAGAACCCTCCAGTCCTGCCTCGCCTGGGAGGCCCAACCGTCCCCGCCGCTGGCGCCGCTTGTGCAGTGGCGACATGGTCAAGTTACGCAGCACAGCCATGCCAGTTTCTGTCAGCCATACGCCCTCAAAGCGAAAGTACTGGGGCTCTGAAAAAGGGAGGAGACCATATGATCCTAGATAGAGGCCTCAGGGAAACCAGAACTCCCAGTTTCAACCTATGTCCCCAGATGAGACAAAGGCAATCACAGACAAAGTCCAGGCTGTGATCTGAGGGCTGGGGCAAACAGGCCAAGGGATGGATGGACACCCGAGTTCCACACCAGTGACCAGGGGATTCAGAGAGGGAAAGGCTACTAGGAAAGCCTGGCTATGCGTAGGGTTAGTCCTACTCTCACCAAACAGACTGTCAAGTGCATGCTCATGGCCACACACAGTGCCCCAGGCCAGGAGTACACACATTGCAACAGAGGAGACGCCCTAGTCTCCGTCACTGAGAAGACAGTTGTGCTCTCTGGACATCTGGCAGTAAAGAGACGCTGTTGTTTTGTGGTGGGTTTTTTTTTTTTTTTTTTTTTTGGAACCAGGGATTGAACTCAGGCCCTTATGCTTGCCAGGCAAGCGCTTATTCTATCGAGCCATCTCCCTGGCCCCTTTGTTTTTTGTTTTGTGTTTTTTTTGTTTTGTTTTGTTTTTTAAATTGAACCAATACTATGTATTACAACAAATACTGTCAAATTCATATTACTTTGTTAAGTGAAATTTTGTAATCACTTGTAATTTTGTCTGTTTTAATCCTAATTTATGCTCTCTAAAAAATAAAAATAATAAAGACAAAAAAAAAAAATAAATAAATAAATTGAACCAGAGGTCTTACGCATCCTTAGATTTATTATTTTATTTTTTTTATTTTAATTTGTGTGTGGGGGGGGGCCAGCTCAGGCCACCAGGGGGCAGGGCTGGCTGGCATGTGGTGCTGGGGGATTGAACCGCGGTCTCTTTGCTTTGCTAAGTTTGTTCTAAGTAGGTGCTTTAGACCACTGAGCCATCTCACCAGCCCCTAAATTTATTTTTTATTTTTTTGGCGGAACTGGGGATTGAACTCAGGCCCTTGTGTTTGCCAGGGAAGCGCTTATGCCACTGAGCCATCTCACCGGCCCCTGTGTTTTTGGTTTTTTTTAAGAAGCGATGTTGACTCATGAAAGGCACAATGTCCAGGAAACCAGAGACCTTGGATCTAGTCATAATTTTGCCACTAACTTACTAGGCAACCTTGGGAAGGCTGCTCAACTTCCCTAGGTCATAGTTTCTTCCCTCTAAAAATTAAAAAATGAAGAAAGGGATCTGGAGTTAAGACTAGACAATATGTAAGTCTTACCTGGCTCTGAGATTCAAAATTTTCCTAACTTACCTGGTTCTTTCACCTTCATAGGCACCAATTCTGGAGGGGCAACTGGTGCTGTAGAAAGGAAAGGCCAAGATGATGTAGGGCACCACCTAAAAGCAAGGCGCACTCACCTGTCTCCTTGCCCCTCCCAGCACCCCATACTCACCCACAGGCTTTACCACGTAGGGCTGGCAGGAAACACAGTCAAACCCCTCATCAGCCGCTTGCTCCACATCATCCTCAGTGAAAAGGCTCTCACAGCCAGCATGCATCCACCTGGGAGAAGATGGGGCATGAGCGTGCAGGCAATGTCGGCTGGAAGCAGGGAAGCAGGGCCAATAGGAAGGGAAAGGAAAGGGAAAGGGTGCTTTCACCGTTCACAGTGGCGGCACTGGATCAGCAGGTCCTCTTCCACATACGGAGCGTGACAGACAGGACAGGTCACCAGGCTTGCACAGGGTGCACAGTGGGTATAACTATTCTGCCACTCACAGTGGAAGCCAGGGGAGGCAGTCCCACACTGCATACAAGATACGCACCTGGTAGGAACAGAAAGACAAACCCTCAGCACCTAACCTCGTCAAGCGCCCAGAGGTGCCCCACCATGAGCAGTTGGGCTTCCTAAGCGCAGCCTGTCACACGGACGTGACCGTATCGACTCTAAAATCTCAGGCCCATGTGGCTTGTCTTCTCAGGCCCCAGGTTCCTTACCACTTGCACTTCCAGCCACCCTTGGGCACGGTGAGTAGAGGGGGATCCAGGCAGTACGTGTGGTAGCTAATATCACAGTCATCACAGAGCAGCAAACGCGAGGGGTCGGAGGCCTGGCCGCAGACCTCACACACGATACACTCCACACAGCGCCAGCCTTTCAGCAGCATCACCTTGGTGATCTGGTATAACAGGTGGAATTCCTCAGCATGTGAGGGGGGAAGAAGGCTTACACAGTTATGGACGGGAACCCCAGTGCACAGCCCAGACCCCCATTCCCGCAAAGAAAAGCTTATACAAGCACTAGCCCCACCCCACCCCGGGAGCCCAGGAATCTCTGCCAACCAAAGAGCAGCCTCACCAGCTGCCTTGATTTTTTGGGGAGGAGAGGGTTGGGGGTTAGTGGGGTTCTGTTTTGTTTGTGAGAAAGGGTCTCACAATGTGTTCAAGCTAGATCTGAGCACATTTTGCGGCCAGGCTGGCCTCGAACTTGCAGCAATCCTTCTGCCTTACCCTCCCAAGTGCTAGGATCGTAAGTGTGCCCCACCACACCCAGAACTACTGCCTTTATACGAAAGCAGAAGAGCAGACTAGCCAAGCCCCAAAGAAGGCTGTGGACAGAATTTGGTCATACTGGCCGCAGTTTTTCTTGAGCATGTAGGACCGATTAATGATACAAGTTAATGAATGCTAGCAGTAGGCTAAATTACAAATCAGTACTATCAAAACTTTAAATAATGCTTAGGGCTGGTGAGATGGCTCAGTGGTCTAAAGCACCTACTTAGAACAAGCTAAGCTAAACAAAGCACAGGGACTAAGGTTCAATCCCCCAGCACCACATGCCAGACAGCCCCACCCCCTGGTGGGCTGAGCTGGCCACACACACACAAAATAAATAAATAAATATTTAAAAAAAAAACTTTAAATAATGCTTAGGTCAAAAACAGTATATTCTCTTTGTGGATATGTCCTGACAGTTTTATGTACTATTTCCAGACTATATCGTGTTTTCTACTGATAAAGTTGTCAGCATTTATGTGATGAACTCAATTATACCAGCAAGTTTTGTTCTACTGCAAAGACTGTCACGTTCCAAACTACTTTTCCTCAAGATGAGCTTAAGAGCTACTTCTGACTGGTGAACAACTTCCAAGAGCAGCTGCCACTTTGAGTTAGTGTGGGGCTGGAGAGATGGCTCAATGGAATAAGTGCTTCCCTGGCAAGTGCAAGGGCCTGAGTTCAATCCTAGTTCCACCAAAAAAAAAAAAAAAAAGTTAGCGTGACCAGGATGCAGCATAGGGTAAGAAAAAATTAAGAGGCTGGGCGAGGGCAGGAAAAAAGCAAGGAAGAACAAAACACACACAAGTACAAAGAAAAAGAAAAGAACCAGGTATGATGGCACACGCCTGTAATCCCAGCACTCAGAGGGCTGCGGCAGGGGGATTGCTGCGAGTTCGAGGCCAACGTGGCGAAACCCTGTCTCAAACACAAACCAACCAGCCAACCCTTTTTCTCGCCCTCCCCCCCTGTTGCCCTGGACTTACCTTGCTGCTGACACAGTAAGGGTGATAGCACTGCGAGCACTGTGAGCAGGCGAGGAGGTGGCCCTCCGCGCCCCGGCCAAAGCTGCCACACACCACACACATGTCCTGGGGAAACAGCGCGCCTCAGTCCCAGCCGCCCACCTACTAAGTGCTAGCAGTCTGCAAGGAGGGGCCATGATGCCCTTTACAAGGGTAATCTTGTGTTCTCCTCTCTAAAGGCTACATAATGACACAACACTTCCTGTTCAAAATACATTTGTTGTGCAGTTAATTTGTATCCCGTAAAGGAAATATTTTTTTAAAAACACATTTAAAAGGCCTATGCAGAGCATACGACCCTGACCCTGCTCCTTCCATTCAACCCACCCGGTATGGGCATCCCTAGCAGGTAACTTGCTCACCCAACAGGTAACTTGAATCCGTCTGACACAGGTAAAGATAAAAAGAAATTATAGGAAGATAAGATGGGGTAAAGAATGGTGGAAGCCAGGCATGGGGGCACATGCCTGTAATCAAAGCACTTGGGAGGCTGAGGCTGGAGGATCACCGCAAGTTCGAGGGCAGCCTGCACTACATAGTGAGCTCAAGGCCAACCTGAACTATGTATGAACACCCTGTCTCAAAAAAAACTAGAGGAGAAAAAAAATAATAAAATAAAAATAAAAAAACTGGGGCTGGGGAGATGGCTCAGTGGAATAAGTGCTTCCCTGGCAAGCGCAAAGGCCTGAGTTCAAACCCTGGTTCCGCAAAAAAAAAAAACCCTAAGGGTCGGCAGAATAGCTCAGCAGACTAAGTGTCTGCTTAGGCAAGCACAGGGACCGGGGCTCAGTCCCTCATACCACATGCTGCACTGGCCCCACCCCACCCCACCCCACCCCCGTGTGCTGAGCTGGCCACAGAGACCAGGCACTGTGGCACACGCCTATCATCCCAGCGCTGGGGAGGCTGAAACCAGGAGGATCACTACGAGTCCGAGCTGTGCAGTGAGACCCTGTACCAAATACATTAAAAAAGAAAAACCTATCGGACAATAAAGAAAAAAAAAAGAATGGTTGAATGTGAGTCACATATATGATCACATTCCTTTGGCTTCAAGATTATTTGGGTGAGACTGGGCGTGGTGATACTAGTGCCTGTAATCCCAGCTCTTGGGAGACTGTGAACAGGAGGATCACTACAAGTCCAATCTAGTAATGAGACCCTGAACGCCCTGTAGACCCTTCCCTAAAAAAAATTATTGGGTGGGAGCCAGGAAGATAGTTCAGCAGCTTAAACACTAGCCTGGCAAGCACAAGGTCCCAAGTTTGATCCCCAGTACCACACACACAAAAAAAACATTATTCAGGTGAGAACACGTCAAAGCTTTCTACAGCACTGCTTCAACAGAACAATGACTTCTTTGACAGGACTGAACCTAGCACTTTTGCACTGAGTTACATCCCTAGCCCTCTTCTGTATTTTTATATTTTTATTTTGAGACAAGTTCCTACTAAGTGACAAAGTTGCCTGAGCTGTATTCAAACCTGAGATCCTCCTACCTGAGCCTCCCAGAGTGCTTGGGATTGAAGGCATGCACCCCAACCCACTGGCAAACACCACTTCTACCACTCTCCCTGCCACACAGCACTGCTTCGGTTCAGTGCCTCCCTTCTCATTAGCTCTTTACGGCACACTGATCCTGGTTCTTAATACCCTCTGACTGCATTACACACCCAGTGTTTAATACACCACTCTCAGAGCTGGGGATGGAACCACTCCAAGTCCAGTACCTGCATCAGAACAAATTTGTCCGTATTGGAGAAGAGAACCACAGTATTCTGCATGGTGTCATCCTCCTCGTCTTCCTCCTCCTTACTGGGAGATCCATCAACATCAGCCACCTGGTAACAGAGGGTTAAGGAACGTGAGGAGGATGAATATGCCCCAACTAACCCACTTCCTCTCTGGTGTGGGGGAAGGAGACATGAACCCCTGGATGAGGAAAGGCTGCATCCCAGAACTAAGAAATGGAAGCAAACCCCAACCTCCAGACTATGGCAGAGATGTCAGAGGAGCCTGGAGGCCAAGCAGACAGCAGCATAAACTTAGCCAGCCAGACCTTAGGTAAAGGCAGGAAAACCTATAGGATATGGGCTGCAGCAGGCTGTATCACTGAAAGCTCTAAAAGGTTGGCCAACACTGCCCTAAGCTAGCAAGCACAAAGGCATCTGGCAGGATGAAAAAAGGCGTAAAGGCGTCTGATAAAGCATGCTAGGGAAGTGCAAGGCCTCTCCTTACTACCAGAGTCTCAACGGAAGAAGTAGTGGATTTTAGCCGGGCCCGGCCCCTCCCACGTCCTCCGTGTGCTCCTCCACGAGGCCGGCGCCTTCCTGGGAAACTACTGCTTCGAGCCTGGGGGAGGGAAGGGTTACAAAAGCAAGTCAAGGTCCAGTGTGCTGGGTCCTCAGACGTGGAGGGAAAAGAAACGGACATAGTGTAGCAGATTACAAAGCCTGAGTCCCACTCAGTGCAGGGGGAGAAAGCTCAGCCTCCAAATTCACGCCGACCCGTGTTCCTCTCCCAGGAAGAGAGGTCTATGCGCTACAGAGGAAACCAGTGACTCTGAAAGAGACCCAAGCGTCTAGTGCCCTTCAGGGTGACCAAAACCTGGGTAAATCTTTTGCCCCTTCTCAGTATTCCTCTTAGCAAAGTGAAAAGTTGGACGACAGGATTTCTGCAAGAATGGGATTCAGCAAAGCAAGCATGACGGTGTCACAACTATACTTCTCAGGCACAAATCCTGATCCTGCCCGAGACTGGACAGCTCCTCACCTGTTTGATTCTGGACCGGGCTGGGGAGCTACGCCGTCGGCCTTTGTCCCCTTCGGCTTTGCCTCCACCGATAGCTGTCCCAGCGTCACACAGTAGTGAGTCATCGGTCTCCGGCAGGGAGTCAGTACAGAGCCGCAGGGAGCCCTCATCTCGGACTGGACTAACATCTGTAGATACCCCCAGCTCCATGGACAGAGAGCCGCCGCCCTCAGGGTCAGGAGAGCCCAGCAGGGGCTCGGAACCAGGAAAACTGGCACTGGCATCACCCTGGCTCAGATTGGAGATCTCATTTACAATGTCGGATTTGATGAGAGTAGGTGGTATGGGGGCCACTGGTGCACGAGGCTCCTCCTGCTCCTCACAAGATGAGCCCTGCTCTGCCTGCTTGCATTCGGGGCCATAGACCTCCATAGGGGTCACAGGGGCCAGCTCCTCTGGGTCGAGAAGCACAGGGGAATCTTTACATTCACTAGCCAAACTGCCAGGGGTCTGCCCAGTCTCTGGCTGTGAACTAGGTGCGTCAGTCCCATTGAGAGGGGCTGTGTCTTCCCCCAAGCCAGAAAAGTCGTCCAGGGCAGGGGCAGGGCTAGGAGCAGGACAGGATAGATCCATGGTGAGGGAGCAGAGGGGGCTGGTGGCACTGGGTTCCAAAGCTGGGCATTCAGGCTCAAGGTCCTTCTCCACATCCATTGCATGTGACTCAGGCTCTTCTGGGACCTCCACTGGCTTCCCCAAGGGACTCAATGGGGAGGGAACAGACAGTGGCGGAGCAGGTGGAGAGCAGTGGGGAGGAGCTGTGTTTGGGGGAGGTAAGGAATGCTGAAGGGGTGGAGAACACTGTGGGTGGAGGGGCTCCAACAGGATGGGGGACACAGGTCCTGTTGGGGAACCTGGAGAAGGGGGCAGGATCATTGGGGGCACAGGTTCTGGGTCAGTGCAGTTGGCTTCCGGAGGAGGGCTGATGGGTGTCTCTAGGATTGGGGCAGTCAAGGGTGACTCAGGGTCACTGTCCCCTTTGGCACCAAAGGGATACTCTAATTCCCCCAAAGGAGACAGAGGCGGTGGGGCCGAAGCTGGAATAATGGGTGAGAGTGGAGGAGGAAGAGGATCTGGGGAGAGAAAAAGAAGGGCCCTTACATTAGATGTACCATAAAAATTTAGGGTCTATCTAGGGAAAGGAGGCACCAACATCCCTTTACCTGGTGGCATCAGCTGAGGTGACAACGATGGCTCTCCTGATGGGGACAAGCTTAGCTCCTCAGGCAGAGGGGATAGCGGTGGTTCCCCAGGCTCAGACAGGGCCGGCTCTCCAAGCAAAGGGGATAAGAGTGGCTTCCCAGGTTGGGGGAACAAGGACAATTCCTCAGGTGGGGGGCACTGGCCTGGCACCTCGGGAGACTCCTCCGGCTGGGGGGACCCACGCGGTAACTCAGGCTTGGGGGACAGGCATGGCTCCTCAGGTGTGGGGGACAAGTGGGGCTCCTTAAGGTAAGACAGGCATAGCTCCTCAGGCTGAGGGGATAAGCGCAGTTCCTCAGACTGAGGGGACAAGTGTGGTTCCTCAGGCTGGGGGGACAAGTGTGGTTTCTCAGGCTGGGGGGACAAGTGTGGTTTCTCAGGCACAGGGGACAGGCATAGCTCCTCAGGCTGAGACAGCAAACTCGGCTCCTCCAGCTCAGAGGTCAGGCATGGCTCCTCACGCTGGGTGCAGTGCAGGGGTTCCTCAGGCTGGGGGGACACATGTGGCTCCTCAGGATGGGGGGACACATGTAGCTTCTCAGGCTGGGGGGACACGTGTGGCTCCTCAGGATGGGGGCAGAGTCTCAGCTCTTTAGGCAGTGGTGACAGGGATGACTCCTCTGGTGGTAGGGACAGGACTGAGTCCTCCGGTGGTGGTGAGGCAGGTGAGTCTTCTGGTGGCAGGGATGTGGGGGAATCCTCAGGTGGGGGTGACAGGCGTGAAGCTTCAGGTGGAGGTGATGTGGGAGATTCCTCAGGGGGTGGAGACAGGGGAGATTCCTCAGGTGGTAGACACAAGTGTGACACCTCAGGTAGGGGGGACAGGCGTGACACTTCAGGTGGGGGGGACATAGGCGAGTCTTCAGGCGGTGGAGACATGGGTGAGTCTTCAGGGGGTGGGGACAGGCGTGATGCCTCAGGAGGTGGAGACAGGGGAGACTCCTCAGGTGGAGGGGACAGGGGAGACTCTTCAAATGGTGGGAATGGACGAGATGCTTCGGGTGGTGGAGACATGGGCGACTCTTCAGGTGGAGGGGACATGGGTGACTCCTCAGGTGGTGGAGATATGCGAGATGCTTCAGGTGGTGGGGAGGTGGGCAACTCCTCAGGTGGAGGAGACAGGGGGGACTCCTCAAATGATGGGGACAGGGATGATGCTTCTGGTGGTGGGGACAAGGGTGTCTCAAGCACAGGAGATGCAGGTGACTCTTTTGCTGGAGAGAAGGGCGACTCCTCCGGTGGAGAAAATGATGATGATTCAGGAGGGGGAGACAGAGGAGACTCCTCAGGAGGTGGAGAGAGGGGTGACTCTTCAGGCAGCAAGGACAAGCATGACACCTCAGGTGGTGGGGACGCAAGTGACTCCTCAGGTGGTGGAGACAGGCGTGAGGCCTCAGGTGGTGGGGATGTGGGCGACTCCTCAGGTGGTGGGGAAAGGGGCGACTCCTCAGGCAAGGGCAGCAGTGGCTTCTCCTCAGGTAGTGGGGCCTCCGACCAAGACTCGAGTTGGGCCCCTGCTTTCCCTGCAGACACAATGCACTATACTCCTACCCAGCTCAGACCTACTCCACACAGAAGTGCAGGTCTGAGGCAAAGGAAAGCTTTCTCTTACCAGAGAATAAAAAGGGGATTCATTTCAGGGACCCTCAAATCCTACTCACCTAGTGGTCTGGCTTCACACTGCAGGGACCCCAGTTCCTTGGGTTGCATAGAAGTCACATGCCCACCCTTCGGCCGCTCACAGCATGTAACGTACAGAGCATCAGGCCTATCAGTGGGAATATCACCAGGCTCTGGGGCTGAAAATCTGCAGAGGGCACAGGGAGCAGGTACCGCAGTCCTCATCAGCCAACCCCACGAGGGCACTGTGTGGTGAGCCTAAACACTGAGGCTTGTTCTGTCCACCTTAGCACGCCCCTCTAAGTCCTCCTGTTTTAAGAGGGCCTCTCCAATCTCAGTCCTTCTGACCCCATTCTGATCTCTCAACCAGTCACACTACTTACTTGCTACAGACAGAGGGATACTGCTCAACAGCAGCACCACCAGGCTGACCTTCTTGGGCTTTGTGGCAGCGGTGACAAAGTGAGTAGTTCTCAAACCACTCAGAGTTGGGATTCAGCTCTGATGAACCTGCTCCACAGAGCCGACATACCCGGCATGCCTAGCAGAAAGGAGTGGGCAGAACAGGCCCCGGTCAGGCCAACAACAGAGACCGGAGCAGAGCACAGGACTGGCCAGTGTAGGCCAACTCGGGCTGCGGGGAAAGGCGGAGACAGAAGATACTCACTTTACACTTCCAAGAGTGAGCAGGTAGCTCCTCCATGGGTGGTTTTAAGCAGAAAGTATGGTATCCTTTGTCACATGTCTCACAGACCAGCATCTCAGGATCATTCCCAGGTTTCCTGCAGGGCAGGAAATGGTATAGTACAGGGTCCTCCATCCCCATGCTATGTTCAGCACTAACTTGTATTTCAAAAGGCTTTCCTTCTGCCCTTTCCCTCTTACCTGCAGGCTTGGCACACTTTGCATTCAGGACACTGCCAACCAGCACGTTTGCGGGCAGTCAGAGCTGTGTCCAAGCAGGACCCATGATAGTGATGCCCGCAGCTGGTACAGAAGAATAAGTCACACAACTCCCCTGGACCCTCACATACTGCACAGCGAGCCTCCTCTGCAGTGGGACGAGACAGACAGCACACGTTAGCTACAGGTTTCTGGCACAACTAGACATAGTATCATGGATATAACAGGCATCCCATGAGCACTGAATGAATAACGAGTAGTTTCTGAGTCTCTCCAACACATGCCAGGTGTTATTCTAGATGCCATATGTGGAAAATGACACAGGCAAAGCCCCACACTCACAAAGTTCACATCTAATTTAGTGGGGCAGAATGACAGGACACAACTAGATTTTTTTTTTTTTTTTGCGGAACCAGGGATTGAACTCAGGCCCTTGTGCTTGCCAGGGAAGCACTTATTTCGCTGAGCCATCTCCCCGGCCCCCAATTACAGATTCTGACGAGTGACCAAATTCTGAAGCACACTTGGCCTCAAGTCTGCCCTGTGTCCACAGGACAGGACTCCTCACCCAAATGCGCAGCTCCCTCACGGTGCTCCGGGCAGAGCAGCTGCAGAGCCCTCATGGATAAGAAGGAGCCGCTGGCAGTCGCGCAGGGGAAATGGTAAAGCCGTGGACATCCCGGTGAGCGGCAAGGGATGGAGGCACCGAGCCTGGTGCAGTGGGAGCAGCGCTGCCAAGATGGAGACAAAGCCTCAGAGCCAGCCATCTTTCCCAGAGAAACACTTTAGCCATCAGCTCTGTCCCATGTGTCCACTGTCTCTCCCATCCTACCCGGACTCTCAGAAGCCCATCAGTCCTGCCACCCCTGGCAAGCCCATCCTGCCTTCGCCTACACAATACCTCCCTCTCAGCCTACCTGTGAGATCCCTGAGTAGATGGCCTTGTCCACACCACAGAGTTCTGGGCCTTCCTGTCCCCACACACCTGCTGACCATGCAGCACACCAATGATGTGCCCAGCAGGACCCTTTATGGGTGGCAAGAGATAAACAGAGAGCATAGTTAACAAGGTAACACCCAGCCATTACCCTGTTTCCTCGCCTGCTTTCTCTCACTTACCTCCCGGTTCTCCTAGGTGGGCAGGTGTAAGGCCCTCGGGGAAACCAATTTGTGGTAGGTCCTCACTGGGCAGCACAGCCTTCTCGGGCCCTGTGTTCCCACCAGGAGCCACCACTGGAGACCGGGGCCAGTCAAACGGCAACTCGAAGCGCCGTAGTTCCCGTTGCCCATGCAGACTGGGCTCCCCACAGTTACAGAGAGCACAACGCCGCATCAGACCCCCACTGTGGACAGACAAGCATCAGTACGGCGCCAGGAACCTGCCAACCCCACAAGCTGGCATACCCACACTTCCAAATCCTCTTCCTCAGAGCCCTAGACTCCAATCAAATCCTCATGTGCTCCTGTGTGCCCATTTCTTCCAGATGAGTTACCTGCAGTCACGGGGAGGCTCCTGAAGTCCGGGACTCCCAGAACTGGGTTCAGGGACCTCCCCGACATGTGAATTGGGAAGGTCTGGCTCAGTAGCGCCCGGATCCTCAGAGGCCGCAGGTCCATCGGCTGAATGAATAGAGAAGCATGTGTCAGCCTGATTTAATTGTAAATTCACGTACCAGACCTATGAGATTATGCAAAACTCATCTCAAAAAATGAAATTGTTCACTTAACCTATCTATTACACAGCCTTAGCTCATGTTCTGGTGCCAAGACCAGAAATAAAGGTTGCCCATGAAGAGCCAAAAGCCATTAGCAAACAGAATTTGTCCTACTTACCTGCAGGTTCTGAATCTTTGTCCTCACCAGGCTGCTTCTGGCTGTCCATCCCTCTCTCCGACTGGGCAGGGCCCTCTCGGGGAGACCTGTTTGTACCAAAAGATATCTGTATGCCCAATATGTCTCCCCAATAACCTCTTTTCCCAGGATCCTAGGAGGATAGTCAGCCAATGGTATCGGACCCTACAGACAACCTTACCTCTAAACTCCCATACTAATGGCAAAGAAAATTATTCTTACCTGTTATTCCATTGCCTAGTTTCTCCCCAAATAAACATATACCCTCTTCTCCCACTCTGAATTCTCAAGGAGTCTACTTTACTTCCCCACTTCCACCCTCCGTAGTGGTTCCTAGGCCAACAGTATCCAACTAAGGAGCACATCTAGCTTACACCTTGTATCACCCTTTGCCTCATCTCTAAGCCCCGGGTTTCTGAGGGGAGCTATGCCCTGGCCTGGATGTTTCCTCAGCTAACATCCTAGAGACCTGTCAGTGTCAACCCAGAAGTAATCAAGACCCAGGAAATTTGAGTCTAGACAAAAATGTCTTTCCCTGAAGCAAGGTCCTGGGGTCTTAGAAAAACAAAAATAAGAAAAAAACACTAGTGAAAACTTAAACCTAACTATGAATGGATCTCTCCAGCCTCCACTCATTTCAAGTAGGACATCCCAATTACAACAACAACAACAAAACCCAATTTCCACACAGATATCCTCATTTAGAGCTCAGGCCCACCCTTGGCCCCATCTCTAAATCAACCCTGGTTCTCACCCAGCCTGAAGGCCTCAGGTCGTTGCCCATAGCAACGCCAACTGCTTTTCCTTCTCTCAAGTTCCTAGTAGTTAACAGCAGTGCGCCTTAAGAGTTACTGAGCATGTGTAGCCGGCCTGAGGCTAAGCATGCTGGGAGTTGTAGTCTCAGGAAGCACCCTGCCACTTGGAGGAGGTCTAAATGGGGCAGGACACAGCAGAGTAGCTTCCTTCCTCTTCCGTCAACCAGGGTTTCCACATACATGGGGGTGGGGGGGTGTGGAGCTAACGGTCCCCTCTCCCCCTTCTCAGATATGACAACCATTACCAGAGTCAAATGAAACACACCAAAGATGTACCTAAAAAAATGTTGAGTCTCATACCCTTAGACATGTTTCTCTTGGTCTCAGAGAAATATAAGCATAGTACAAGAAGAGTAAGATACAAGAATTATAGAAACAAAAAATAAGAAGGGAAACACAAGAAAAGAGATAATAGATACCAGCAGCTATTAGTGAGAAAGGTAGACCCTTCTCTTTTATCACAGAAAGAATGTAATGTTTTTAGCATACAGTGATAGAAGGTGATGGTGGGGTGGCACAAATACCTAGGAAAGAACTGTAAATAATAAAAGTATGAGAAATGTATCTTCACATTTTCCACTTAACAAGCATGTCTACAGCAACTTTAGTAAGGAAAACCCTATCTTCTCAAACTGAAAGCCAAATAACCCAGTCAACCACTTGGAGCTAAATGACAGGGGAACCCTCAAAGGTGCCCAAGACTGGCTAATCAATTCTCTAATTACCAGAATGTCAGTGCTCTTTCCCTGAGGTTATCCTTTATTTACAGTTGTCACCAATATCCTTCCTATGTCATGTCACACAAAAGGTCATTACTTCACTTATCCTTAACACTCAGAATCTACTAAATAGGGAACGTTTAAGCATAATTTGATACTTGTCATGACCATTCCCAAGCCACCTCTCTTACCTAATCTTCACATAACCACATCTAAAAGTAAAGAAGGGTGGTTCACCTGGCCAGCTCACAGCACAACTGCTAGAACTCTGAGGCCCTTAAGAACTGTCTAGAAAGTAGAATTGGAGATTGGAGCAATAATAGTGAGAACCCTCTTTGCATTCAGCCATTCAAGGCCTGGCCATACTCAGAAGATCCAAAGGGGCCTCCAAGTTTCCTTAATGTATCTTAACTACTCAAGATCCTCTACCAACTCTGCTGTCCAAGTTGAAACCAAAGGAATCACAAATAGCAAGAAATAAAAAGCATTGGCGATAATACAACGGGTAGGAGGAGAACCGCCTCACACAAGGCCAGAGGGACAAATTCCTCTATCCTCCCCCAAGCACAGTCCTCTCAGGCTGGTAAAACTGGCACTGCCCAGGAAGGTACAGAAAGTAACTTCATCCAGCCTTGGAGAACACAATATACTACCAGGAGCCATCAGTCAAAGCCCTTTGCATGGGGTTACAGAGGATGAGATTAAAACACAAGGAAAGTATCCTGCAAGCTGTACCAGAAATAATCTAGAGGCACCTCCAAGAAGAAGGTAAAGAAGAAGCCTGAACCTCAGACTCTACTTCCCACCCCTGCAGTGCAGCATCTGCACCTCAATGCTGAGTCCCACTGCTAAGCCCTTGAACACATCAAAGGAAATAAAGGCAGGAGCTGCCATCCCATTGCTCACAGTCATTACACACAGATACACACATACACCAGTGGGTTTCCCCGGACAGGGGCTAGTGCCTGACCAGACACTGGGCTAGTCTTCTGATTCAGGGAGTAAAATTGCTTATACCCCTCAGTTCTACATGAAAGAGGCCCAAAATAGCAAGAGAGAAAGCAGGGATGTTTCCCAGCCCACTCCCCACCCTAGGTTCATTCCACATCAACAGCTTTTATTCGCATTTTCCCAGCCAAGGGGGAAATGGAGACTTGAACAGGTGAAAAGCTACAGCAGGTCCTCGACTGAACAGCTCTTAAGTAGGATTCAGGACTTCCTGGTTCCCGGCCTGAGAATCAAACCACACCACTTTCCACCCCCATTTTGGGTCAGCCCTCCAAGAAGGATCCAAATGGCAACACTGCCCTGCAGACCCTCCCCCTATCCATGGGTCTGCCTAGGATCAGCCACAGCTAACAAGGTGTAGTCCCTCCTAAGGAAGTTGTCCCGAGACACAAAAGGAGGGGCCCTCCACAGAAGAGTAGAGCTGACAGTTCACCTCACTCTACCACCTCTGTGCCACCTCTCGACTCCAGAAATCTTTCAAGGGCAAACTCTTCACTTTTGCCTTCCCCAAACCAGATTTGGGGAGATCTAGCACATGTATGTTGGAGAGGGTGGGGTGAGGGCGCAAAATGCACCAGCCAAATCCCTGCTGGGCAGCGTGACAGGTGTGAAAAGGGCTGCCCGGCCCAGGGCCTGGAGGCTGAGGCTGAGGCTCATGCTGCATCCCTCCTGCACACACAGACACACTCCTTTCACCCCCCAGCACCTCCTGCCAGGGCTGGAGACACTGGCTGCCAACAGAAAAGAGCTCTGATTAAGTCTTCTCCTCCAAAGAGATACAGGCCACCCTACTCTGCATGGCTGGGGCAGGATCAGAGAACCAGTCAACACTCCCTGGCCAGAAAAGGGTGAGAGAGATCTGGGAGGGGCCTGTAGGGCTGGCCATGGCCTCATGGGCAGTAAGCTCTCCACCCCAGGCCCAGGGAGCAGGAGACAAAAGCCATTTTTTTACAGCCCACATTCGCAGGGAACAAATCTCAACGGCCTCCTCTATAATCCCCTAGAGATTATGTCCATCCTGAGAGGAGGGGAGGCAAAGCAGGCTAAGACAGCACTAGGCCTCACTAGGGTCACTTTGCCAGGCAGGGGTAGTCTAAAGTTGAACAGCAGGGCCACAGTGGCCCCCAGCCCCGCCTCCTCCTTGCTCTGCCACCCCCTTTATCACACTAGTCAGTTTCCACAACCCCTCTCCACTGCTCAGAGAAGGCCTGGTTAAGGATCTAGGGTTTCTTGAGTTTCCCGGAGACTACTCCCGAGTCCTTGCGGGTAGAAACAACCTTAAAGTCCAATCAGGCAGTGGCACCCTCCCTCATCCCAAGTTGCTCTGTCCCAAGGCCCACAGGAACCCTGGGGGAAGCAGCAGCAGCCCAGGACTGGTGTTGGCAAGAGGGCCAGGGTCCTAGTTTAGCCGAACTCCCCTCAACACAAAAATAAACAAGCAGAGAGGCAATCTGGACAGGTTCCCAAACTCCCGGGTTCCCTGAAGCCCTACTCTTTGAAGAGGCACACCCCAAGACACAGGCCTTGGGTTTGCCCTGGACACTGGCTCAGGTTCCCTTGACAGACCCTGCCGAGGGAACCCTCCCCAGCTCCGGCACTCCCTTCTCCAACCCGAAGGCCAGCCCCGGCCAAGAGAGTCCATCTGGCTGGGCCCCCAGTCCAACCCTTTCTGGGCCTGGCCGGGCGGACCTCACTCACCTCTTCATAGGGCGATCCAGAAATCCTCATCCGAGAACATGGCCAGAGCCCGGGCCGCTCCCCGACCTCCAACCGCCAGAGCGATCACCGCCGCCCCCCGCTCGGGGGGGCCTCGGGGGGCCAAGAGCGGTAAATCCAGGTCGGAGCGGCCACCCTGCCCCCCCGAAAAGAGCGAGCGGCCGAAGGGAGGCTCTGTGCCGCGGTCCCAGCAGTCTAGGTGTCCATGGGCAGCCCCGGGGCGCCGAATCCCGAGCGGACACAAAGAGAGCACCGGGGGCTTTGATCTCGGGCGGGCGGGCTCCGCATCCGCGCCGCCGGGCGGGCTCCGCGTCCTAGGGCCCGGCCAGCGCCCCGGC